GACAAGGAGTCTGATGGAAGTGATGACAGTGATTAAAGGGGCCCTGCAATCATATTTAAGCGTCTACCTTTTTTGCGGTTGCCACGTCCCTCGGAGTTCAGCGGGCACGGAGAGAGTTACTAAATATCAGTGCATCATATTTTAACCGGACGACGCGGAAGCATCCTCCACCGACGGGGGCGACCCGCGGTACCGAAAGCGCGCGATATGTGACGTCTTAGGTCCTGGGCTTACTACTGGTCAGAGCCGCTAAAAGCTTCTTTTTAGTCGAAATACAAAATATAAGTGGTGCGAACCGTTTCAATTAGGTATGAAAATAGTTTTTGTTCGGTATTTTACCGCAGAAAAGAGACAAATGCAGTTTATAAAGTACGGGAAAAAGAAATGACCCGTCGACATACCAGCCACCAAGCGGCGGAAAAAGCGGCGCATACTAGAAAGGAGTAGTGGGATCAGGCGCCGACACGGGAAGGTCACGCATGTACGCGGCGGCGCTGCGGTCGTTTACAAACTGGAGGATCTGACCGGCTCCGAGCGTTCCGAAGGCCTTCGGCGAGCAGCTTTGTTTTGCGGTTTGGCCGTTCCGCAGTATGGCAGCGCAAAGTGGCTCCCATTCTGAACAGATCTTTACCCCGTCTTTGCTGTCGTTTGTGGCCAATGAAGTGTCATGCCGAATTAGTGTTTACTCGCGCAGCAAATGCAATGAATGCCGTTCTGGCTGCCCGCTGCATACAGCCTATTTAGGATATGCTTTAGTGGCGCCCTCTCGCGCCGTCGACACGGAGTGGGGCAGCCGTGAGCGCTCGCGATGAGCCCACTACCCCTCCCCTAGTTCACGGCCACTCAAGCAACCAAGGACGTCATGAGGGAGGTTATTTTTTGCTTGTTTTTGTAATTTTAATTTGCCTATAACTTTTAAACTAAAGCAAATTTCGAGAAAAGAAAAGTTGCACTACGTTACTACGTTCAGTGCGCTCAGGCTCGGTAAAAATTAAAAACCAGTAAAAAGTCCTTGCAAGGCCCCTTTAAGGTTCAATTACGACGCAAATATACGTTTTTCTTAAGACTTCCTGGGTTGCATTTTACGCGGAATATTTTCGCGGTCCTTAAATTGTTTCATATTATACGCGGATAAAACTTTTTTTTTTTTTCTTCGCGGTCCTCAAATCATGCCTCGTATTATACGCGGGTTCGTACGCGGGTGCGGGTTTTTACTGTACACTCTCCGGCAATATGAAAGACCCACTGGGAGCGCGTGGCCGAGGCAGTGGCTGGCGGGGGCGCTGTGAGCGCTCCGGGCAATTCCATTCTGCTTCGAGGCGAGGACGCTCACTCGGGATCAGCTAAAGCGAAACGCGCTTGTCAGATTGTGCTGAGCCCCGAGTGGTCCTCCCCTCGAAGCAGCATGGAAATGGCCGGAGCGCTCGCAGCGCCCCCGCCAGCCGCCGCCTCGGCCACGCGCTCCCAGTGGGTCTTTCATATTGCCGGAGACTGTACATCTTTTGTCCGCTCCCTTATTTTGTCTGCAACGTATTTGCGTCGACTAATAGCGAGTTCGTTTCACTGCACTTGTGCCCACGCGTGCCCACTCGAAGCGTCGCGCGGGTTCATTTCGACCGGCACTCCAAGAGTGGTTGCACTCTCCGAGTTCGTTTCATCGCTGACAACCCACGCGTGCATGCTATGATGCAAAACTATCGATAAATTGAGTATCGATACTAACGAGTTTTTCCAAAACTATCGATAGTGTCGCAGAACTATCGATAGTCGACTATCGAAGCACTATCGGTAGTTTTTCGATAGTACTATCGATAGTTTTTCGTAGTCGACTATCGATGTACTATCGATAGTTTTTCGGTAGTCGACCATCGATAGTTCTATTGATAGTTTTTTCACTATCGATACTCAGATTTCTGGCGACTATCAATACTATCGATAGCACTATCGATAGTTTTGCACAATTAGAACGAACACAGTTGCCGAACCACCGCTCGCCTCCCCCTTCCTCCTCTCTTCGCCTAAACTCCCGTCTTCGTCATCAATGAAAGCTGAACCAAAGTTGGCATGGTAAGTGCTTGGGCTAGTTGCTGTCCCATTTGAAAAAGAAAATAAAGCGAGAAAAAGAGAAGAGGGAGCGACGCAAACTACTAGTGTCGCAAAACTATCGATAGTAATCCGTCGACAGTACTATCAATAGGTTTACGATAGTCGACTCTCGATAGTTTCCCGATAGTCGATAACAAAAATTTTCCGATAGTCGACTATCGATAGTACTATCCATAGTGTTTCGATAGTCGACTATCGATAGTTTTTCAATAGTCTACTATCAATAGTTTTTCGATGGTTGACTTTCGATAGTTTTTCGATAGTCGACCATCGATAGTAGCATCGATAGTTTTTCGATAGTCGACTTTCGATAATACTATCGACAGTTTCTCAATAGTCGACTTTCAATAGTTTTCCGATAGTCGACTATCGATAGTATTATCCATAGTTTTTCGATAGTCGACTATCGATGTACTATCGATAGTTTTTCGGTAGTCGACCATCGATAGTTCTATTGATAGTTTTTTCACTATCGATACTCAGATTTCTGGCGACTATCAATATTATCGATAGCACTATCGATAGTTTTGCACAATTAGAGCCAACACAGTTGCCGAACCACCGCTCGCCTCCCCCTTCCTCCTCTCTTCGCCCAAACTCCCGTCTTCGTCATCAATGAAAGCTGAACCAAAGTTGGCATGGTAAGTGCTTGGGCTAGTTGGTGTCCCATTTGAAAAAGAAAATAAAGCGAGAAAAAGAGAAGAGGGAGCGACGCAAACTACTAGTGTCGCGAAACTATCGATAGTAATCCGTCGACAGTACTATCAATAGGTTTACGATAGCCGACTCTCGATAGTTTCCCGATAGTCGATAACAAAAATTTTCCGATAGTCGACTATCGATAGTACTATCCATAGTGTTTCGATAGTCGACTATCGATAGTTTTTCAATAGTAGACTATCGATAGTTTTTCGATGGTTGACTTTCCATAGTTTTTCGATAGTCGACCATCGATAGTAGCATCGATAGTTTTTCGATAGTCGACTTTCGATAGTACTATCGACAGTTTTTCAATAGTCGACTTTCGATAGTTTTTCGATAGTCGACTTTCGATAGTACTGTCGACAGTTTTTTTTTATAGTCGACTATCGATAATACTATCGATGGTACTATCGAGTTTTTTTATAGTCGACTATCGATAGTTTTTTTACTATCGATAGTAAGATTTCTGGCGACTATCGATACTATCGATAGTTTTGCATCACTAGTGCATGCACTGGCTGCACCGAGAAAATCGAAAGTGCGCCGACTCCGGAAAGGCCGGCGAGGAGCGGGAGCAGACGACGAGGGTTCGTCTGCTATGATGTGTCGCGAAACCGAAAGGAAAAAAAGTATATTTTCTGATAGAAATAGCGTCCCGCGGGTAACGAAATGAAACGCGAGCTTAAATTGTGAGCGTCTGCTATTTAATGAAGGAAGCAATTGACAAACCGTGCTTTATTTAAAGGTTTTAAGTCACTATGTTGCCGTACAAACACTGAAATATACCACTGTGTAAAGAAATGCTCAGAACAAACGCATCAGCGGCACCCTAGATGTTTATCACCATTCGTGTGCGGGTGAAAAATTGAACAGTAGTCGACAAAACCCCCCCCCCAGCAGAAACCTCTGACTGCCCAATAAGCATCAGGGAAAGTTAAACATAGTGACTTAACCCGAGGCTCGGGAAACATCACGTTTAACATTTACCTACGTCAGCTAACTTGCCTCGTCGTATTTTGTTCAAGAAAGCTCTCGTTCTCGACGCCCTCACCAAGGCTAATATTGCCGCGCGCGCAGTACGGAGCACGGCCGTGGCCCAACGGTTATCGTGCCTGCCTCCCACGCGAAGTGCCTGGGTTCGATTCCTGGGAGCGACGCGTCTTTTGTTTATCCTTGCAATTTAGTGTTCTAGTAAATTCGAGAATCTTGTTGCTTGTTCTCGTCGCCGAACCTTCTAGGCCGACTGTTCCAGAAACCACCAACGCATGTACATAAGGGCATGGCGATCCTGAGTAAGTTTCGCCTCAGCGTTCGATCCTGCCGCCTTCGACGGCTTTATCTTTTTCATTTTTATTTTTGGGCACAAGTTCGGCCCCATTAAACGTTCAGTTTACTCAGTCATTCGCCGCCTCATCATTTGTCATTCGTGACAATATCTGATCCACCTGTAATGACGATCGAAATCGAAAGTCCGACGAAAAGTTTTGCTGGATATTCCAACAGACTAGTTTTAAGCCGTACCGTTTCAGTGGTTCACGCATAATACCATGCCCAAACGAATCAAGCTTCTGCTCGGACACCATCATCAGTTTTCCTTAGTGTAAACGGTTATAAGAATTGATAAATCGCAACCAGCTGCTTTGTAGACAGCTGGTTGCGGAAATTTACGCCGTCTGTAACTATCCCTACGACAGCCGAGTTGCTTAAAGTCATCGCAACTATAAACTACAGGTTGCAGCGACCAATGTTTGTAGATAAACGTTAGTTGCGACTGCACTCTCACATTTCCACCCATCACTCCGAACAGAAGGGAGCTAGTTTCGGTTTGAGGTTGGTACTTTTCTACAACGTAGATGGCGGCAGCATCAGTCTTCTGCACTCAGTGCATTTGGCGAGTTCGTTTGAGTCCAGTTCTCCGTGCAACACTCTGCGAGTGCGATGCATTCTGGGAGGGAACTTGAACGGTGCCAGTGCGTGTGAAACAAACTCGCTATAAGGCCCTTGTATACTGAAAGGTGGCGCAAATCATTTTTCCAAAAATATGGCCATCCATTCGAGATATCGCCTTACGAGTGGTGTTGTAGGGATTATAGCGTCCCGCTTACAGCTCCTGCATTGTTTTCTGAAATCCAAATTTCGGTTCACCATCCCTTTAACAGTCAATCTGTGCCAAGCAAACATAAAACATTGAATGAAAACAGCAGATCTATTTGGTTTTATTGTGCACAAAATCATTGCTCTCTAGCAATTCTGAGCTTGCAAGTACAAATTAAAAATGTGGCAACAACAAATCCTGCCATTTGGAAAAGGCTGACAAAAGAAGGCTGCATCAAATGCCTTAAAAACCTAAAACTAGAACAAGTATAAATTAACGAAAGGTTATTTGCAATGACCATGAATGACTGACTCTCTCCTAACAAGCCCTGAAGCTAACTATACTTTTTCTACAAAAGGACATTCTTCCAAAGTTCACTACATATTTCAAATCAAGTTATAATTGCTTTGAATAAAAATAAGGACTACACTTATTACTCTATCTGCTTGCTGTATCCACCAAACAACACATAAAGATATACATAACAAGCTATGTACACCGTTATCACAAGCATTCCTATAGTTCACAGGCATTAAAAATGCAGCACTGTATGAACTTGCTCGGCAAGGTGGCACTTACTGCATATCTATTACTGTACTTCAGAACTAATGGTGTTTGCGTAACTTAGGCCACTATTGCAGTTTGCTGCTAAAGACGCCTTTGGGTGCATCTTCGAAAACTGCATTCCAAGTGCTAAAGCAGTAAATGGCTACAACTCGAGTGGTTCTACTAACTGCAGAAGAGAAAACAGCGGAATTAGAGCAAGTCTAGCACATGTCCACAGCAAAGTTGGCAACAACTCAAAGCTCAGCTCAACAATTTGTATGCCGTGCCATACTGCAGTTGGTAAATATTACTTTGAATTGTCAACTTCACCACTCCAATAAAATGCAAACAAAAGGCAAACGAAGGCTACCATAAATACTGCAATGCAATATTCCTATAAAGAAGGAATAACTATAAACAAGCCAGGCCACAGAAACTAACTGCTAGCATACCAGTAAACCAATAACCAACACTCAGGTGCAAAACAGCTCCTAAGTTGGGGAACAAAACTGTACCACGGTGGTTACCTAACCTCTAGAGCGCCAACCACTAGCATGCTTAAAGAAAATGAAAATAACTGAAGTCACAGTATAACTGCAAAATGATGGTGGTTGTACAGCCTACATTGTCAAAAAATAGCATATGAAAATGCTATCAGCAAATGACCATGTAGAGAGAAAATCATTAACAAACACCCACATATCTCAGGCTTTCTGCAACCCCTGCCCCAAGCTTTTTTTTTTTTTCTTTTTTTCCTTTTTTAATTTTTGGCTTTGGTTCATTGCAGCCAGAGTGAGCAGGAGGTGCAGCTGGCCTTCAATTTACTCATGCTGGAGGCAAGGCATCTTCTCTGTAACAGCACACCAAAGCGACCCAAGAAGACAGGGAAAAGAGAATGCTTTCGTTGAAGGTGGTGGAGACGTGGGGGGGAGCAGCTTCGGGGGAAAGGAATTACTAGACAGAGAAGGAGTCGTTGAGCAGCTTTTCAAATTCCTTCTTGTGGACGTGCTTGCTTCCGGTGGCAGTGGAAGGAGACACGTTGCGTCCAATGTACCTGCCACACAAAGGAGCACTATTACCAAAATGAATTGCACAAAGAGAGACTCTCATAGCATTCAAGAGTCCACCATCATGTTCCACAGCTGGGTTTAAAAAGTAAAACTCTTCATTCTCATAGATGAAATCGCAAAACATGGGTTCACACTTTGCTTTACCCTAAAGTGGACCAAACAAACACTATGAACTAATCAAGTATATCGAGATGGGCCAGGCGGCCCCGAGATCCGCAATATCAAAATGTGGAGCACAAAGTGATGCACCCTGTATTTAGGTTGGGACTGGTTTTAAAGGTTCATAGTATCCACATAGACCATTGTAGAACTAAACAGGGTGTCTACACTAAGGTCTTGCAGCTCAGCTGTGCAAACACATCATAGCATGTCTATTTGCTTTAGACAAGATTAGTGAAGTATCTATTTGCATTAAAAGAAGGTCATACCTCGTTATTGCGAATGTCAGACTAAAGGCATACTGAACCTTAATGTGAAGTTTTAAAAATAATACCCAAGTGACCTTCCCGGGTTGGCACAGCACCAAAATATGTGATTCAAACACATGGAAGACGTTTGAATTATTCTATTTCTTTGAACCATGGTCTCTCATCACGCCGATCAGACAAACCGTCAGCCAGAAGCAGACGGTGCGTACGAGGCCTACTGGAAATAGCCATGGCAGAGCTAATCATGCTTACTTGCTCTCTCTCGTCCTTCATTCTCCTCAATGGGGGTATTCACAGGACGGCATATTGTATGATGTTATTCGCAGTAAATGCTCAGAACTTGCTCCCATTTATCATCTCCTAAGAACAATGATTCAGATTGTGTGGAATGGACATTGTATGTGCATCTGCATGCATTGCTCACAGGCAGTGAAGCCAAAGTTATAGGTACCCGTGTGCTCCCAGACCTTGAGCACCAATTAAAGCTTTATACATCTGGTGTTCCCTTCTTATGAAATGCAAAAAAAAATTATCTTCGAGCATCGTTCTGAACGACAACGACGGCGACGATGCGGAAAGGTCGCAGGCGTACAGTAGCACTCTAAGCCTTTTCCTTGGTACATGATCGCACTCCTCATGAGATGGCACTTTTCTGCCACTCTTGCTGCTACTGCACATCACCAGAGTACAATCGAGGTCCGAGCTCGAGGTACGAGCAGGTACAAGCACACTTGACAAGCACGAAACGGGCCGAGGCGGCCAAATACCAGATGGAAGCGCGACTAGCGGTTATACCCTTTGTAAGGGGCGGCAGCTTGCGCTACTTAGCCTAAACCGGGCAGAGTGCCTGCCCAAGGTGGCCTACCTGGCCGGGCAAGTGGCGTGACGTCACGAAGCAAGCTTCCAAAAATGTGCACCAGGGGTTGCATACAATATTTATGTTTCGATTTAATCAATTCTGAACATGATCTCGCTCAAGACAATGTAACTCATAACTAGTCGGTCTGCCATAAATGCCAGTTCAATCAACAATTTTCACCCAAAATATCGGTTCAGTATCCCTGCAATAAACTTTTCAGATTTACGAAAATTTCAAAATCCCTTTTTCATTTTTTATGGTTTCAATTTAAATATATTTCAGTATGGATTTCAAAATACAGAATATTTCAGAATAATGTATGCAATTTAATGGCTCTTGTATATGTAAACACCTCAAAATTATGAATTTATTTCCTAAAAAAGTTAACGAAATATACTCTGCGTTTTCATTACTTGGCAACTTCTGTCACAGGTGGCTCTCAAAACTGACAGCTATCATCATCAGCAAACATTGGCCGGTCGGTGGCAAATGCACATTAGGTAACAGGCCTAGGTCTGTTCTCGCACTAGCTACACAACGTCAGCCGGTGAGGCTTCTTGCCAACTTGCTTGTGCCGCGATTTTTGGTTTGATTTTCCGACAACGAGTTCCTCTTCAGAAAACCGATCTTCTGAAAACGCCAGTCCAGCCAGAAGGTGATGAGCACCAAGACAAACTGTGGAGCAAAGTCATCAAGAAGCTTGCCGTGGACCTTTCAGTGGAGTTCGAGGATTAAACGACGGAATGGGTACATCGGCAGAGCTGACGACCAACGACATTCTAGACCTCGACCGTGACAAGGAAGACTTCAGCGACAAGGCGCCCAAAACAATGAGGGTGCAGATCCAGTACTCGTAGATCAACAGGAAGAATCTGTCTCAACCTCCAATGCCCAGAGTGCCATCAGCAAGTTAAGCATGTTCCTTGGAAACTGTACCGATGTGACCGAAGCGCTTAACAAAAACGTTGACGACATGGAATCATTCTTCCTGCAGTGCTTGTGCTGCACCCACCAGAAAGAGATAACAGATCGCTTTTAATAAATATGCGGTGTTCCATAGCATGTATTACTTTTGATCACAAATGACTTAGTGCCATCTCGTTGCAGAGGCAATTTATTTCTTTCGTCCAATTTAAATATTACAGAGCCGATCTAAGAGTTTTTCACTAAAGCGATATTTCAGAGTAACGAACGATTTTTGGGGGTTCCATTAAAGCTGTTGTATCAAGATTTGACTGTAAACAGATGCTGATCTCAATGTTGGTAGAGTTGTCAAATATCAAGAGTTTGAAAGGTTAGGGAGCGCAACAATCATTAAATATACCCAGTATAAACCTAATGGCTATAACTTTTTTTCCTCCTATCATTTGAATACTACCACTCGGTAGGTCAAATGTGTGGGGAAAATAAATGATAGCAACTGTGCTATACTGTGAAACACAACAGAACTATAGTCTAGGTTAAAAAAAAAGGTTCCACTCAACAAAGGCATTGGCGCTTGGATTTAAACCATGTGGAAATTGCCCAAGTGCTTATGCAACCAAAGCATTTTGCACAGAACTACAGCAAAACCTGAACATAACGAAGCCGAGCGAACTGAATACTCAGTTAACTCAGATTAAATCGAATACTCCGTTAAAACAAAAATGACATTTTTCGAGCCCAAACTTTTATAATCCTACAGTAATCCCTCGTTATAATGAAATTGCTTTTTATAGATTTATCACTTTTATCAAAGTTCAATGTGGTCCCCACCGAAATGCATGCATTTTTAATCGGATTATTCGAAGTGTGTCGACGGTCGACCCCACTTATTACGAAGGTCGCGGTGCCGAAAGCATGCAAGCCTACACAGAGGTTCACACAGACCCTTGTGTTCCCTCGCCGTTCTTACACCGAAGCAAACGGCAAACTGGGAAAACGGAGTAAATGGATGATCGAGGGCAAAGCGCGCAATGCCTGGCAGAGCGCTGCTTCCGATGCCGATGCGCCGACGCAGGCAGGAAACAGCGGGAGCAGCGTCAACGTTCGGACTCTACTCATAGCACCCCCGGCCAAAGCTGCCCGACTGCTGTCGGAACTGGGTTAAGAGAGCAAGGGAGCCCGGAGAAGATTATCCCTTCGGGAGCTCTTGACGCGCGCACCTGCACGGGCACGTTAGCGGCGTACTACATGCACACGTGCATCGTATGGGAAATTGGGAGTGTTTACCGAAAGTCGCTTAGATCTGCACGGGTGAGAGAAGTGGCCGGCCAAGTCCGAACTCGCCAAAGAATTCGACGTTCCGGCATCGGCTGTTCGACATTGTTTACCATTTTGCAGAACTAGCAAAGCATATTGGACGGGTTCGAGAAGTTCCCCATGCACCAGAAAACGCGCCTGCGACCCGAAGATGAAAGATTGCCAACTGCATTGCGCATGTTGGATTTTTTCTTGCGAGCATGCTTGCCAAGCAGGTGCACAATTTCCATACCTGCAACAATCTCTACAGGAGTGTGTGAAAACATGTTGGCAAAGCAACCAAGCATAACTTTGATTCCTTCGTGCTTAACGATGCAGACGTTCCCGCTGTTGCTCCTACCACGGATGCTGCGATCGTAGGCCTTGCGTGCGGCCAGGGCACACACGAAGCGACATATGTACAGGAAGCAACTCGGGAAACGCCGACAACTGCGGCGACGCAAAACATCCTACGGCTGCTTCGAAACAAAGTGGAGCGCAGCGATAGTGACAGTGTTCTTGCGATGTCTGGAGCAGTTCGAGAACTACCGTATTTATTCAAATATATGGCAACCTTTTTTTTTTTTTTCGGAAATGTAAAAAATTAAGGGTTGACCTATAATAGTTACCAAAGAATTTCGACCTACATTCGTGTGTGCGAGATCGCACACCTGAGGGATGTGCGCTCTAGCGCACATCCCTCGGGCATCGGGTTTTGCCATGCATCGCGCCTGTTGCGTTCCGCTCGCTGGGCAAGGGGAGGGAGAGGAACGTGATGCGCCATGCACTTTGCCCTCCATCCCTCTCCCCCACAAACAAGCACAAAAAAAGAAAAAATAATAATCCCGAGGATATCTTTGTTTGTTGTTTGCGGCAGCAGCTCGCATGTTGCTCACAGCGCCTCACGGCATTGCACGTTGCTCGTGTCTTTGTATTTGGTCTTTTGTCGCTTAACCTGTCTCCTCCTTCTTACGTTTCTTCTTGTGGTCATTTTACAACGATGTCAGTGAGGTATTGTTGCGAATTTGCAAGGATGTCTACCAAGCTATGAAGCTTCGGACAACGATGGCATGTTCGGAAGTTCTGACGATGATTAAGCATTTGGCATCGTCCTGTGATTTAGCTGAGAGTGCTGCAAATAAAGGTTTGTTTCTTTCTTTTGCTCAAACTTTCCCCTGTTCTTAAAAAAAGAAAAAAAAAAGGTTAACCTATACAGTGAAACCTCGTTATAACAAAGTTGAAGGAGCGGTCGTAATTATTTTGTTATAACCATTAGTTTGTTATTGCCAATGTCCATTTCTTTCCCCTATTAGTAAGCAAGGGGAATTATGATTGCTTTGTTATATCCATTAGTTTGTTATATCCCATTTTGTTATAACAAGGTTTTACTGTATTTGAATTATTTTTTTTTTTTTTCTCGGTGGGTTCAATAAATAGGGGTCGGCCTATTTTCGTGGTTACCCTATTTTCGAGTACAGCCAGGATGAAATTATCAGTAAATTCCACTTAATTATATTTTCACTCGGTAAAGCTGCGGCGAGATGTTCATAACCAAGGTTTGTTTGATTAAATATACTGTCAGAGTGTTCCGCAGTGTTCCCGTCCACTTCAAGGCTGCTGACACTGTTTCTGTGGCTCTATTGCTTTTATCAAATTACCGCTTATATTGAATTTTTTTTTTTGCCATCCCACTGACTTTGTTATTACGAGGGATTTACTGTAGTTTTAATGTAATGGCATCCAGAGAGATACTCTGACACAACATTGGCAAAGTGCTCACGTGCCAAAAATGTGCTTTTTACGTGCTCATAAATTTCTTCTGCAACCCGCACCACTAGGGCAAGAGGGAAACCTTAGAACTTTTGAGGAAACAAATCAAGGTCTCTTTCTGGCATCACCATCCGTGCGCCTTTATCAGCACACTGCAAGAGCCAGCTGGGGCTCTCGTTGAAGTTCACCTAACCCATCAGAAACACTAAGAGAGTGCACTTTTCTGCAATGCGTGGGTTCTGCATGCACACTCGAAGATCACTAAAGTGTCGAGTAGAAAGCTTGCACTAGAGGGGCGATGTCTGAAAGACCTCTCTGCCGGTCTACGTTCTTGCCCTGGCGTTGTGCTGCCGTTCATATCTGCCGCGCCCGCGCCCGTCTCTGGGCCTAACAGGGTGGGTGCAAGAGGAGAACTGCCAAATGTAATTGAACTGAAACTGAACAACACTGCCCTCTATTGCATGCGACATAAATAAAACATCATGGAACTGCTACATTCATCTAATATAAATGACTAAAGCCCAAAGTACTGAGTTTGATTTCCCATAGAAACGAAACTAGGGTCGTGCAATCTTATTGCTGACAGGCCAGCAACGGACTTTGAGGCATTCTAAACAGAACAAATTTGAAATCACCTCTTTTCACTAATTTTTTTTTTGTCCGGGAAGGCTTCGTTAATTTGGGTTGATGGTCAAATTTATTTTGTTATTTCATGTCCCTAAAAGCATAGAGCCCTTTGGGAATTTGTGGGGGAATTAGAATTTTTTTTGCTAAATTGTGAATTTCATAAAATTGAGCTTTGTAAAATCCAGTTTAACTGTATGTTTTCGCACCTGTCTTCGATAGCAATCTCTTAGGCAAATAGAGGATTTTGGGTCCGAATCGGATTCGAAGCGAATAGTGATCTTGGCCGAATAATTTTGAATCGAATAGTTTGAATAGCACAAGCAACAAATACCACAAGATATGTTTAAACTATAGTTTTTGCCCTTATTTGCCCTTATTTGGTATTAGAAGTACCGTAATTTTAAGTGTATTGAGTTCGGGAGCATGAAACGGTCAGAAGCTTGCGCCACCTGGCCGGAAATCTAAGCCAGAGTAAGTCAAACCTGTTTATATCGAACTCGCAAAACAATGTCTACCAGTTCAATATAGCGGGTAATTCGATATAAAAGTTTTAATGAATTTGACTCTCAAAAATCCACTTTCTGCTGAAATATTACACAATGAAGTAGTCTTGCATCTTCTGCTGCTTTTTCTTCATTGCATCCACAATAACAATATTTTTCTACGCTATCGACGGACTCCAAAATGCTGAGGCCGCTGCCTCCTATATTCGCGCATTAGCGCCGAACTATGCCGAGAGCACGGAGTACGTCCGAACAGGAGCACCTTCTCCTGCAGAGTGCCGTTTTGCTCTGCAAGTTGGCTTTCCCCTAAGACAGGTGTCTGCATTGGGGGAAGCCAGCTAGCAGAGCAAGCTGGCTATTTTTTTTTTTTTTCCGGGCGGCCGCGTCAATTGTTTGGAAGAAAAAATAATATTCTCTTTTGCGGAGGGAGCGGGGAGAGAGAGCAGGGAGCACCCTCTCTCCGCTCCCTCCGCAAAAGATATTTTTTCTTTCCTTCCGGGCAATCGACGTGGCGGCCCGAAAAAGAAAAAGCCAGCGTGCTCTGCAAGCTGGCTTTCCCCCAATGTAGCCAATCGCGTTGGGGGGAAGCCAGATTGCAGAACAAAACGGCGTTCTTGGCAGTTTGATATATCGGTAGCGGCTGCTATTTTTGTTAGAAGTAACCATAGTTTTTGCTATATATTATCACTAATATTACTGTGCACAAAAATTGTTCGATATAAGGAATAATTCGATGTAAATGGGTTCGATATAGTCGGGTTTGACTGTATTTGGAAAGGTTGAATAATTCAATATTGTCGAATACTTAAACTCGATTCGAAGCAAATGCCGAATAGAACAAAATTCAATTGGCTATTCGTAATAACCGAATATTCCTCCATCCCTACAATCCGTGCAATTTGTGAAAATAAACGTAGCAGCATCTACAGAAGGCTTGTTTACAAAAGCCTTCCTCAAACGAATCTATAAAAAAAAGGTAACTGGTCATTCTCTGCAACATATGCATGCATGATCTTTGTTTAAATGTTAACAAACAATGCAGTCGTTACCCAAATAATACCTACTACAAAAAGTAACACAAACGGGTATGAACAAAACGTGATCTTGAAGTGATCAAGGAGTTTTTAGACGTTCATAGATGTGGCTTTCAATGGCTTCAATGACACCTGTGCAGGTAGCCACGATTCCACCAAGCTGCAGCAGCCACCAAATTTTGGGAATACTTCAGGTATTTTTCCTCATATGTGCCCGTCCACACGCTAAAACCCAATTTGCCCCTCGGCAACAGGCAAAGCCAGCCAGTGTGGCGCGACTCACTGAATGGGCATCTGGTTGGCCGTGACAGTCTGGAGCCTGGGCTGGATGAAGGACCAGTAGCCCTGGTTCTTGTGCTCCTCCTGGACCCAGCAGATGTCGGCATTGGGATATCTGTCCACCTCCTGCTTCACCAGGTCGAACGGGAACGGGCAGAGCTGCGGAAAGACAAGAAACGAGGCAAGGGATGGTTCCTTATCACTGCAGTCTTTACCAACGGCAAACACCGACAGCGCCCAAAACAGGAGCAGCGGGAGGCCAGACGACAAAGCAACACATGGGCAGCATTCACAAAGTGAAATTTGGGGGTTTTACGTGCCAAACCAACGACGGGCATCTGGCACGCCCCAGCCGAGTACTGAGGATTAATTTGGACCACCTGGGGATCTTTTGACGTGCAACCGAAAGCTCGGTTACACGGCGCCTCCTCCGCAATAAGCCTCCGTCAGATTGCGGGCACCCCGGCCGGGGTTTGAACCCGCCACATGGGGATCCGTAGGCCAGTGCTCTCGCCTCGGAGCCACCGAGGCGGCTGGGCAGCATCCACAGACTCATCTTAAGTGCCTATTGAAAAGTATTCTTGCCCTTCTTCCCCTTTGTTCCAAATAAGGCAAAAAAAAAAAAAGTGAAAAAAGAAAAAAAAAGGATGAGCAACAACTCTCAAAATTGTCTTGACAGGAGCAGCAAGCTGAAATTTTGGTCCGGTCAAACTGAACTGATATTGCTGCAAATGTACGCAAGCTGCGATGTTGAAATCGGACAGGTCTAGGATGGAGACAGAGATGCTGTGCATGAAGATGATTACGGTATACATGGCATAAACCTCAAGACTGCGGGCAAAACATGACACAAACACTAAAAGGCATTGAGACCTTTTAGTAGGGATGTGTGAATAGTGAACTTTCACTTTGAAGCGAATCATTATTTTGAATGAATAGTTTTGAATCGAAGCAAATAACTTCAAAGCGAAGAGAATATTTTGCAATCATTAAAATAGCGGTGAGAAAATTGTCAAAAACAAAATTTCAAAAATTTGCACAGATATGGTTTGTCTAGCCAAGTCTTCTCCAACGTGTTTTCTAAGCTATTGGAAAGACAGTCAGCAACAGATGCAAGAGAGCAAACTTTCCCAGCCTGTGCCTCATGTCATTAGCTTACTGAATGTTACTGTGGATGAATACCCACTGCTCCACATGGTCTGAGAGAAGGAGCTCCCTCCTGCTCATACGATGTTGCCCGTTGTTAAAAACAGTCTTTCGCTTGAGACTCGCGTCGCCGGAACCGAAAGGCAAAGCCGGGCAACCTTTGCCAGCAGGGAGTAGTTGTCCTTCCCGAAATTCTTCCACCAAAGGTAGGGGTTCTCTGAGCAGGGCCTCACAAGTAAGTGAAGGTATTCCTCTACCTCTTCCGATGGCCATCGGGAGCAGATGTTCAAGGTGCTAGTAGAAGCTGGAGTTCCAAAAACGTCCCACACATCACTGGTGGTGCTGGCAGGTGGGGCAGCTGCGCTTTGGGACTCTTCAGAATTCTCCTCCGGGGCGAGGCTCTTCTCTACAGCTGTGCAGAGCTGGTTCTTTGCCCACTGCTTCTCACTCTGAGCAGTGTAGCAGACCACCTTGAACCAAAGGTCCAGTAAAGTGTTTAACGCATGAGCACTTTGTAACTTGATGTCTACAAATCGGGACTTGATGCTCCAAAGCAGGTATCCCGCAAAGACCAATTCCTCTCCACCACTCTGCCACTGCCGAGTCAGCAGGACCTGCATACAATGCACTAATGCCACCACTTGCGGGAGAGTGGGGTGCTTCTCGGAGAATGATTCCCGTGTTGCCTCCTTAACGCATTTGAGGACCGATGTCACTGATGCCATGAGGTACCACTCGCTTTAGGTCAGGTTATCGAAAGCGTCTCGTTCTGACAGGTCCAAGGAGCTTGCTGGAAGCAGCTTGTGGAGGCGGGACAGCATGTCATACTTGCGGTTCCACCATGTGGCAACATCCTGGCTGATCTCAGGGTTCCAAGCCCATAGAAATTTGAATCTCTTTCAGGCGATTTCTTGCTAGAGAGCTTCGCTTGTAGTGCCCTACAACTGCTCGGGCCTTGAAACAAAGCTCATCAAAGTCCAGCGTTTCTTTCTTGGCACCCTGTATGCACAACTGCAATGTGTGTGCAAAGCACTGTAGACTGGTCCATGTCGTTCGTGACACTGCACTCAGAAGGTTCCTTGAACTGTAAGTAACAATAAGGACTGGAATGTCCTGTGGAAGTCCCCATTCTGTGGCCAGATCAAGCAGAAAGCTCTTCCAAGTTCTCAGCAGTATGGCCGTGGGGCATATGCTGGCACGCCAGGTTGTAGCTACGGGGCTGGAAGTGTGCACTGAGCAGGTGGCACGTCATCAAAATGTAACTGTCCCCCGTCCGCGACATTCACCCGTCTGTCATTAGGGTGTAGCATCGGGTTCCATTCTCGAAGTGGTCATGCAACTCACCTTTAATACACTTTTTTTTTTTTTTGGCGTAAAGCTCCAGCACCACATTTCAGGAAAATGTAGTCCTCGAAGGGACTTGGTATTCTGGCACAACAACATGCATTAATGTCAAGAACCCCAGCTCCTCGACGATTGAATAAGAGTGTAGGCCTGTGGCAACGAATAGTGCCGTTTCTTTTTTTTTTTTTTTTTTTTTGTCAGCAGTTTTGCTTGTTGACTGTCCTTCTTCAACATTGGCTTGAAGGGTCCGGGAGTTCAAACACTGCCTTCAGACTTCTTGGTTTCTGCTCTCTTCTTTGCGCTCTCAGCAGCGCGCATCTTGTCAAATTCTTCCAACGGTCCGGGACGACGTTTCAGGTGATCAACGAGGGTGGTGGTCGTACCCGTCGGTGCGACATTTCGCGCCTTTGGGTCCTCGCTCAAAGAACTCCTATATCGCACTTCGGCACATCCTCCATTGCGTTTGATCGCCCATAACTTGTCCACCCATAACTTGTTCGCGAACGCACGAGCTGCATTCACAGATCGCATGAAGCAAACGTGACAACAGAAGCAGCACAACGCAAACCAAAAGTAGCGGGGGCAAAAATGGCATGAACCAAGCACGAACACAGCAAGATAATGATGTACTATACAGATAGACAATGGCCATCATAGCAAAGTTGGAATCGGGGGCGGTAGCTTGCGTCACCTAGAGGTATGTATGGTATGGCTGCCAGTTTTGAAATTTATAGCGATTTAGAGCACAGTACTTTTAAAGCCGTCTTTACAGATAACACACTTTAAAACTGACTCAAATTTAATTCTAGGAAAATAACATTTGCAGCAGCCAAGTGGTATTCTAACTAGGATATGTTCAAATAGGAGAAGCCACCGGTATCACTATCACTGTTTTCTACTCGGTGACAGTGACACGATGTATGCGCTAGATACGCTGGACATGGAGAATGAGCCTAAAGTTTACTCGGAAGCAGAAAAAGAAAAAAAAAAAGAACATAGAAGTTGACACTGGTGACCATAGCACGTGGTTTCTGATTAAATCATTGCGAATGTCATTCTTTGTGAGTTGTTTTTCCTCCTTTCTTTCGAACTAAATCATGGTTTGCACCATCCTCACTTCGAAATACTTCAAAAATATTAAAAGTTTCCGAATAGTACTACTCAATTCGAAGTCCGAACCGAATATAGCATTATTTGCTTCGATATTTGAAGGTTTAGAATATTCGCACAACCCTACCGTTTAGTTTGTGTTGTTTTTGTCTGCATTCCCGGGGTTTATGTCATGTTCAATCTAAACCAGCTTTTTTGTGCCCTTACATTCACTTTGCAGATGATTATGTGAGCCACAAGGATTCTGAAAATTAGAAAAGCTGAGGAGAGCTCTTATACAATGTTCAAATAATTTGTGTACTTTCTGACCTGTTTATGCAAAAAAACAAATCACATATTTAAACTGATCACTGGACTCTATTGTTATATACTTGTTTATAAATACAATGTGAAAAACCCAAATTCCCCAAATTTTATTTTAAAAGCCCGATTTCTTTTGCCTGATTACTTTTAATGTGAAACATTCTTTGGCTCGATGTTCAGCATTTCGCGAAGCCCAAAAGCAAAGCCTGGAAAAAGTGTGGCCGCAAGACTTGATACTGATTGGTTGACGGGTGGGAGAGGTGAAATGAAGTTAACAGGGAGGTCATGTTACTAGAGGGGTAGGTGAGGAGGAGTGAGGTAGGCGAGGAGGAGCTTGACCACCTGTGAGCACTGAGGGAGAGGAGCTCGAGGATAGTATGGAGGGTTCTGGAAGGTCGCCAGGTGTATCCGTCCGATTGGCGGTAGCATCAGCTCGATTAGCGTTAGCATCGTTTTATTCTAGGAACAATTATCAACTGTAGACACGGCACGCATTAAACTACCTGATGAAGAGTGCCGTGAAAGTGTAGCTAAATGTTTGTGATGCTAGAACGTTTCACGTACGCAACACAATTGCCTAGCGATTCGTCATGAGTTTTTTATTACCAGCTTGGAACAAAGCACCCAATTTTTACTCCCCCATCTTTGAAAAATATAAAACCCAAAAACAAAGGGCCCTAAAAAACGTTCAGCCTTTCCACTCTCGTGAAGAAGGAAGACCAGCGGAGCTGTACTCGATACACTGCCGCAACGCGCAGTGTATTCCCGCTTCCCGCTTCTTCTTGTCCGACACGCTGCCAATCGTGAATACGTCTCCGGCGAACCAGAGTCGGTCGCACACGGGGCACGTGACGCCAAACGGGTTCTCCACAAACTCCCTCCGGAACCTCGCCGTCGCACCCGGGAACTGTTCAGCCGGCGTGGAGTGCCGTCGTCGCCGGGCCTCGCGCTTGCGCTTGGCCTCCGTTGCACAATCGTCGCCCGTGGCGTTGCCCCGCCGGCGCCCTTTACATCGCTGGTTCTGTTCTCGGCGGCGGCTTCCCAGGCGAGCGATGTGCCCTTTGGCAAGAGAATCTGAAGCGCTGGATGCAGTAGAAGTCAAGGCAACAGCGGCTTTGCGGCGGTTGTGGACCCATTCGCGCTGCTGCGTAAGTCGCCGCTCCTTCCGCAGCCTGTCTCCTTTCCCCAAAAGGGCGCGCAGCCGACCCATCGTGAGTCGAAACCAAAACTGATAAGAGCGTAGGAGCATAGGAAACAGCGTGCAAAACAGACGAGGACGAAGAAACAAACGTGATGAGTGCTGTGCTCACTACGTGTGCTTCTTCGCCGTCGTTGTTTGTTTTTCTCGCTGTTTTCTAAGATGAATTCCCACCAATGCGCCCAACTATGGTCTATTTCAGGTTACGATGTACCGCAGGAAAGGCTACAAGAGCGAGCCCCTTGCTTTGGGGCAAATCTCGGCTGCACATGCTCTCACGCACTAAGGGCAGCTGCCCACACTATGAGCTCGTGCTTCTAACCTTCGCTGCGATACAACAAAGGTGAAACGGAGTATATCAATTCTACTATGATAGGTGGAAAGGTTGTTGCCATATACGTGCAACAGCCAAAACCATACTGTGAGCATGCCGCCGTCACTTATAGATGGCAATAGCTGTCCAGTTAGGTTCGAGTCGAAATACCGGACACGATCCTGAGGAACCTAGTCCTTAACAGCTCCGCTGTAATATAAGGCCCGGACTTCTCGCCCGTTCGAGGCTAGACGCACCTGTTCCACGCGGGAGATGGCGACGTCTCCCTCGAGGTTTCGGGCCTTCCGCTCCTTGGTCAGGTCGTAGTACACCTTGCCTGTGCACAGGATGTGCCGCTTCACTGCATTCGGGTTGCCCTTGACGGCACCCTCATCCGGGATCAGGCGGAGGAACGACGTGCCTGTGCCCGGGAAGGACGACGCAGCATTTGCACAACCCACTTCCTTGCAGAGACCGCGACAAATCTACCTTATGCTATGGCAAAGATCGAGATAACTACAACCCGCAGACTGCTTGTGGCCGTTTAGCCCCTCTAGTGTCGTACATCAGCTGTTCGTCCGTGGAGGTTCGCTCCATTCACGTTTCTTTCGACATCCAGAAGCATGTTTGCGCTTGTCTTATGTTCTCTCACTGGTACACAGGCCACACATGAAGCGTGGTTTATTTTTGTACCTAGCAGCTTCTGCTGATAGTCACTGTTGGATATCCAATGGTCCAGTTAGGATGACTCGGACGTCTTAAATCGTCAAAGATGTCCAGCTCGCAAAGGGGCACAGAATGGGATGCCTATGCGTGTTTTTCATTCGTGCACTTCTAAGCATATCAGAAAGATGTCACATCCCTGACCCCACACTAACTCGCAGATTCTATCGGTTTTGAAACCTTAGGCATTGTAAAGTTGCTACACAGGAGTAAAGAAAGAAGCAAATCCATTTGGGTTTACCTTGAGATACGAACAGTCCATGATGAACAACAAGAAATTCAATGTCCCAACATGCCTTCCGAACTTATGCAGCACCATAGGTAGTTACGATCTCAAAACAGTGATAATCACCAAACTCCAGAAGGTGCTTAGCTCCAAAACTATATTGATGGCCTGATGGATAGTATCACAGAGCAATTGGATGTTAACAAGCAGGCAGCTAGAACGAAGGACCTTTATCTATCTAGCACTACATTCACAGTAATCAATTCACAACAGTCCCACTCATAACAATAACACAGAGAAACCATTAAATTCTGAGTGGAAATGCTAGCCATTGTAGAAAAAACTACAGATGTATCAAGCAAGTTTTGAAAAAAGATTTACAGTTTGTTATCACATGGCTGCACTACATGCTGGCAGAAGCATATACGGTCGAACCCAGATATATCGAATTCAAAGGGGCTCATAAAATAGTTTGATATATCGATAATTTGATATACACAAATATGTTAACTTAAGCTCCAAACTGAAATTTTCGCGCGTCTCTGCTAACGCCGAAGGCTGTGACAGACAGGACCTTACCGAATAGAGCCTCTAATGGCCGCTAAATACAGTAGAGCTTAGTTGGTGAAGATCACAAACACTGCGGCGTTTACGTGACGGTGTTTGCGATAGTTTATACCTAGCCACGACCTCCACACAGCACTGGCAACAAAACACAAAAATAATTTTAAACAAAATAAAAAAAAAAGCGAACTGATAAAAAAAAAAAAAAAGAAACCTCATTAAATTCAAGCAGCAAAAAAGAAAGTCAAAGAAAGAAAAATCTGACAAAGCAAAAACGACGAAAGAAAACGGTAAACACACACATAAGGCGTTCAAGGTGCGTTTGCTCAACCACTGTCAACAAAACAATGGCTTTTTTTTTTTCTTCTTTTTTTAGGGGTTAAGGAGTTCTGCAGGGACAGCGGTGTTGTGGGAAAAAGCGCACGCTACCGTTCCAACAGCGAGCACTCCCTGCCCTCCCTACGGGCGGCGTGCCCTTCACTTTGCTTTTGCCATCCTCTTTTTTTTCTTTTTACTTTTTTTTTCTGATTTTTTTTTTTTTTTTTTTTTAATTTACAATTGTTTTTTTGCTGCATATCCCCGTGCGCGTATGCTGGCTTGGCGGTCTGCCTGCTCCGCAAAGCAAAGAAGCAATGCGCTGGCCGCTGCCGCAATCCGACCGCGGGAGAAGCGACCTCATTTGTCCTTCGTTCGCTATATCGGGTGTCCCTGCCAAGGGAGTTCAATACAGAAAAACAACGCTCCTATACTATTACATATGATTTTCAAGGCGATGTTTGTATTGTTCAGTATAAACAATAATTCGAAATACCCGGGTGTGATATAACCGGGATCGACTGTAAGTACCATGAAGTAGTATGCAAATTTGAAGCTTTTATAAGCATGCAAGATAGTAAGACTCATTGACGCCCAGCAAACACTACAAACTCTAATACATCTTCAGTTTTGTCTGATCAAATTCATGTTTCGCTCTGCTGTATAGGCTTCTCATCAAAATAGTGTTTTCAGAAATTAAACGTTTCAGATACTTGTGGGTAAAAAAATATCCAAAGTTTTTAATTAGATGACTCTGTAGGCAACCACAACAAATAAATTTAAAAAATGCCAACACACCTTCAGTCATTTCGTTGAAATGAGACTTCGCTTCTGGATGCCGGAGTAGCGACTTCGGTGTCAGAGCAATCAACTAGAAGAAACAAATGAAATACCGTTATAAACAGATATAGGAGGAGGTTTTCATTGGTGCACCATAATGTTCCAATTCCAAGTCTACGGTGGGTCTGCAGCTAAATTCCTTAAAAAATAGGGCAGGTGTTGTTAAGCAAAAGATGACAACAAAATTGTTCAGCCTGTCCACTCTCGTGAAGAAGGAAGACCAGCGGAGCTGTACTCAATACACTGTCGCAACGTGAACGCGCCCGATTCCCGCTTCTTCTCATCCGACACGCCGCCGATCGTGGATACGTCTCCGGCGAACCAGAGTCGGTCGCACGCGGCGCACGTGCCGCCAAACGGGTTCTCCACGAACTCCCTTTGGAACGTCGCCGTCACGCCCGGGAACCGTTCAGCCGGCGTGGAGTGCAGTTGTCACCGGGCCTCGCGTTTGCGCTTGGCCTCCGTGGCATGATCGTCGTCCATGGCGTTGGCCCGCCGGTGCCCTTTACATCGCTACCTAATTCTGTTCTCGGCGGCGGCTTTCCAAGGGAGCGATGTGCTCTTCTTTGGCAAGGGAATCTGAAGCGTTTGACGCAGTGAAATTCGAGGCAATAGCAGCTTTGCGGCGGTTACGGACCCATTTGTGCCGTTGCGTACGTGGCCACTCCTTCCGCAGCCAGTCTTCTTTCCCCGAAAGGGCACGCGGCTGACCCATCCTGAATTTAAACCGAAACTGATAAGAGCGTAGGAGCATAGGAAACAGCGTGCAAAACAGACGAGGACAAAGAAACACACGTGACAAGCGCTGCGCTCATCACGTCTGCTTCTCCTTGGTCCTAGTCTGTTTTTCACACTGTTTCCTACGATGAATTCCCACCAACGCGCTGCCCGACTATCCATTCTTCTACGATAGCTGGAAAGGTTGGCGCCATCTACGAGCGACGGCGGAAACTAGACTGGTTGTGTGCTTGCCGCCGTCGCTTATAGATGGTGGTAGCTGTCCAGGTAGGTTTGAGTCGACATACCGGACACAATCCTGGGGAACCTAGCCCTTAACAGCTCTGAAGTAAAAAAAAAAAAAACCAAGCTAGGAAGGCGTATTGCCCTTTTGTTTGCAGTCCCCTGGACAAGGAAGCAGGTGCATCCAGAGAGACAGACTCCAAGCATTCTCCTCTCCCTGCCACTCTCTTAATCCCCTCCCCTTATTGACATCATAGAACTTTCATTTTTCTCTCCACACAACTATTTACTAAGCAGACTTGCAGCAGCAACTTTCGATGGGCAGGCAATGTTTCAGTATTTTCGCGGGAACCAAAACATGGCCTACAAAAAGAGTGGGTGATATTTCCGCAAGAGGTGCAGAATTGGGATGTTATGGTGAACCAATCTCTATTCTGAAGAGAGGAGAGTATGCACAAGAACCCCTTTGGCGAGAAAAGAGATCACACCCAAACGATTCTACACACTTTGCCTTTCTAAAGATAAAGCACCCTTTGGACAATGTTGGCTTATGCAAGACTGAATTGCCTTCCACCTGAAACGGACCTCACCTCGCTCCCTCTCGGCAATTGGTGTGCTGTTAAAAAAAAATCAGCCTGGTACAGGCTTTGGTCCCAGGATGGAAGCCTAAACCTGGCGGATCTGTCCCGCAGCAAAGGTGGAAGGCAATTTATTCTCGCATAAATCATCTCCACCTTGGGGAACTTGCGCTAAGTATTTACATCTAATGATGGTTTAAAAACCATCACTGCGAAAAAAAAAACGCAGCTAGTGTTTCGACAAAAGACAGACTGCTTCGTTGCCTCTGGCAACATCTGCAAACATGCATGCCTCTCGGATGGCAAGTGCGAGTCCACTATGTATTAAGTTTACTTGTCATTTCAAAAAGAGTAAACAAAAGCAAAATGAACTCTGGTAATAACCAATTGCATCACTATGACAGTGTCGGTCACCCTGTATGTCGCCTGCTAAATTCTGCAAATTAAGGTGAAGGCTGTCCCATAGCATGCTGTCCCAGTGCAATCCACATCAATAAAAAAATGTACCCCTGTGACTTTATCATAATATATCTCAATTGTTGTCTTACTGCATCACACAAAATATGTATTTTGCAGTTGTTTTGTGTTTTACACCAGAATTTTAGCAGATATTTACTATTGAACTGTCCCAAGTTTATGACAAAGAAAGTACCCGGACAGTCTAAGGAGAGCAGCCGTTCTGAATGCAACAAAATTTATCGTAGTCCTAAAACACCAAAGGAAAGACTCGCATGAAAATAAGACATGCACAAGGTACCGAACTATGCTCAAAACCTGAACTCTAGAACGGAAACATTCTGCCACGTTGGGGAGACAACTGATTTCATTTATTCTATAAGACTATCAGGGAAACATGTTTCCCAAAATCCTGCTATGACTCAGTTGCCTGAAGGTTGCCCCATTATTTGTATACATTCCAGGATTACTATTATACAGTAGTCTCATGTTGGAATGAAACTTCATCAAGGTGCTTGTGCATTAGAAGATTTGGGGATTGATATGGGGCACCATTCAGCCATGACACAAACTTAAAACTCATAACAAGGAGTACCTCCCCTTTCTAATCTTATTTATTTATATATTTACACGTAACTCTGCTGTGTCAATTAGGGCAATATAGCGAGAGGATTACACAGGAAATCAATAAATTTAATGAGATGATTATGCCACAGGAAATAATGTGTATGGTACCAATCTCTTTCGGTATAGACAAATAAGAGAAGAGTAAGATAATGATACAATTTCAACCCCAAGTTTTCCCTTGCTGGCTGAGAAAGTGTAAAAATGAATTTGCTAATGCTTTTGTGGTTTTATTAGAACTAAATTAGTTCTCCAATTTTATTTCCCATCTAAATTACATTCATATATCACCCCGTTTTTTCCAATGCAGCGTTTCCTTTCCTAGGTGAGTCTTATCAATTGGCAACTATAATTCTGCGCTACATATTATATATAAAAACGGAGACATAGGTACCATACTTTACAAATTCTAACGCCCACCTTTAAAAAAAAAAAGCAGCTATACCCATTTTCACCTCGAGAACCGTAGCAAAAAAGGGTCCGGCTCCTTGCAGAGCATTACTGATTTTCCCTTTCATGTAGAGAATTTACATATATGCGGGTGCATTTGAGATTAGATATATGTTGTCTTATCAAGAAGTGCATGTTTCAAATGCCAAAAGCATTGCTTCTTCCTCTCACAACCAAATCTCGTAAAAACTACTTCGCGCCGCGTATGAACAATGCGCAAAACTTGCTTTTTTCTTGAGGTGAGAATGGGTATAGAAATGGCATGTGCGTTACAATCTGATACAAAACCGAAATAACACTTGCGACGCCCACGACATCGCCCTTACAAAATGGCGGTGTAGCGTTCGCTTGTCCATATTCATCCCGTTTGTTCCTGCTTTGTTCAGTCATAACCCACACTTGCAAAAGCTGATATGGCTAAAGCGTTCCTTCAAGAAATGTGGGACTCTTAACGCAATGGACGGCACTGGGGACGACATGCTCTGGTGCACAGACAGCAAAAGAGAACTCTCCGAGTGCAAGGACTAATATGCTTGCAAGTCAACAAACTTTGCTCATCTTCCGTGCACAAAAATTTCCCTTTTTTTCTTCACTATGCAAACTGGGTGCGCATTAGAATCAGGTAAATACGGTAAGACAGCATTTAACCCCCAACGATGCAACATCAACAATCACTCATTGAAGAACCAGACGGTCAGTGGACTTACAGGTTTCCGGAACGGAAGTGCAATTTGCCTCCTCAGCACGTGGAAATAGTTGGCCGGCGTCGTGCAGTTGACCACAATCATGTTGATGTCGTTTAGCTGCCTCATTGCAAAGTCCTCGTCTATGGTCTGCAACGAAATGGGCACGATTCGTGACGGATCAAGTAAGCACTTGCGGGCAATTTCTCGCTTCACCGCTAATGATCAACAAAAGTGTAAGAGGAAACTTACGGGAAACACGTCGGACTCTTCACTGCAGAGTTGAAGAAAACGTTCTGCCCTGGCGCTAGAGTGCTCGGGACCCTGTGAAAGTGAAGCAGCAGTTTTGTTGTAATGTGCATGCCACAAACTGTATGACAGATTCTCCTAGCAAAAGTCTTAAAAGTGCCCGAGTAGCCCATAAACCACTTTGGTTGAGCAAAAGAAAATGTGCCTTATGAGCAAATAGAGCTCACATAATATGAAGTCACACCTCTATAGTCGGTTGCAGGTTAAGAAACCAAGACCAGTTTCTTCTGCAAAACCTTCCACTCTTTCCTCTTTAGTAGAGTGAACGGTGGAGAGGAGGCAAACCCCTCCTCGCCTCCCCTCCAGCATTCGTGCTGCTAAATAAAAAGGCCGCATTTCCACGTGGTGAATGATTTTGATAGGGGCGAAGCTCTGGCAGTTTTGTTGTAATGTGCATGCCACAAACTGTATGACAGATTCTCCTAGCAGACCAGCGAAATGCTACTGAGCAAGTACTAAGCTGTGCCTTTTTGGGTTTTAGGCGGCGAAACACGGCAGCAAGCATCGCAGCTGACCGGCCTACCGCCGCCAGCCTTCGTCTCAGCGCAAGTCGCGAGAATCAAGGAAGCTACGCAACATCATTGCGTCACTGCCTCGTCATCGGCAGTGCAGGGCCGTGCAAGTTTCGGCGGACTGCGGTGCGGGCGCCGTTGTTATCTTCAGACGGGTGCATCGAGCATCTCTGGATTCGCCGCCTACTTAAGCACCGATCGCAAGGGAACACGTAGCAGACCAGCGAAATGCTACTGAGCAAGTACTAAGCTGTGCCTTTTTGGGTTTTAGGCGGCGAAACACGGCAGCAAGCATCGCAGCTGACCGGCCTACCGCCGCCAGCCTTCGTCTCAGCGCAAGTCGCGAGAATCAAGGAAGCTACGCAACATCATTGCGTCACTGCCTCGTCATCGGCAGTGCAGGGCCGTGCAAGTTTCGGCGGACTGCGGTGCGGGCGCCGTTGTTATCTTCAGACGGGTGCATCGAGCATCTCTGGATTCGCCGCCTACTTAAGCACCGATCGCAAGGGAACACGTCGCAGACCAGCGAAATGCTACTGAGCAAGTACTAAGCTGTGCCTTTTTGGGTTTTAGGTAAGCTTGCATTCATCCTTCTGTATACCGCGGGAGTGTACAGATTGCATTTCGCTGGTCTGCCCCTTTATCCGCTATTTTGTCCGCCATGGCCGCGCAGAGTGAATGCATTGCGTGTCTTAAGTCTTTGCCGGTGGATGGTATTGTTGCGGCATGTTCAGAGTGTCAGCACGCCTATCATACTGGAAAGTGCTCAGGTGTGACCAGAAAGGCTCTGATGGCTCTGTCGCCAGAGAGGCGTACCGCATGGAAGTGCAATACATGCACACTCCATGCAGCCCGTCAGTCCACCGCGGTTGACGACCAACAGACGCCAGATGGGGGGTCGCCGACACAGCCTGCGTCACTGAGCACTCGCGAGAGGAGTCTGGACAAGATAGTAGCTCAAAATGACGACATTAGCAAGCGACTCATGGACGTCTTGAGCAGAATAGAATTTATTGAAAAAGCGTTGGAGACTCAGACTGGTAAAGGTGATACTATAATGGCGAAGTTAGATCACCACGGGAAAACAGTCGACGCAATAGACACCGCCATCACTAACCTGTCAGCAAAGTATGATGAACTTCTGCGAAGATTAGACACACAAAGCGTTACAATAACAGAACTAACAAAGAGGACAGGCGAACTAGAAGCAAGGGTGGCGGAGCAGGATGTTCAAATTCGAGACCTGAAAACAGCAGTAGATAACGCAGAACAGTACTCCAGGCGAAAAAACGTAGAGATCCATGGAATCGTACAGCAACCCAACGAGAATGTATTAGACGTTCTGAAAGACCTAGCTGCCAAACTCGACCTTCCGCAACCAGGCACAGAGGACATTGAGGCTGCCCACCGACTTAGGTCGAGGGAAGGGAAAATACCACCGGTTCTTATCAGGTTTGCGGAAAGAAAAACGAGGGACCTGTGGATGACGAAGCGAGTGACACTAAGAAATGAAAATATTTACATTAACGAGAATTTAACCAAAACACTGAAAGGTCTACTTTGGCAAACTAGGGAATGTGCAAGGGCAAAGGCGTACAAGTTTGTGTGGATGAGAAATGGCAAGATTTTCGTACGGCAGAAAGAAGGCGCTGGTGCCATCCGTATCGAAAGTGAAAGAGATTTAACTAAACTAACGTAGCAATGGAGAGCACTTTCGACTCGATACGCGAATGGGACCTTTATAGGGCGCGAGTGCAGACGGAGAGTAGCTGCAGTAATGTAGAGCTTAGCCTTCTGCATGTAAATGTCCGAAGCTTGCGCAGGCATTGGGACGAACTTTTAGTTATATTATCTGGAAGACTGGCATCGCTGGATGTATTAATATTGAGCGAAATTAGCGTGGACGAAAAATCGTGTTCGGAATTTACGTTGGCTGGTTTCAACTCATATTGTCTGTGTCGTGAAGAAAAAAGGGGAGGTGGTTTATTGATGTTTGTAAAGAATGATTGGTTTTCAGATAGGATAAACGTATCCATGGTCCACGCAGAAGTTTGCGCAGTCTCGATTCACAAATCTTCGTCTTCATATATTGTGTGCGCGGTTTATCGACCGCCTCATTTAAACATAAACATGTTCTGTGAGGAATTTTCTGTCCTATTTCGCCATTTCGATAACAACCATCATATTCTACTAGCTGGTGATTTCAATATTGATATTTCGGACGAAACAAAATACGGAGTTTCTAATTATTTAGATGTTCTTTCTTCCTTTGGTCTAGAGAACGTAATACTAGATTACACGAGAGAAGAATATTACGGTTGTAAAATAACTAAGTCATGTATTGATCATATAATAACTAGACTTGGAAATGTGACATTAGTTCCTGCAGTGATTAAACAAAAAGTCGCGGATCATTATTGTATAGCTCTTGCGGTATTAGTGGAAAACCCAGCCAATTACACGTCCAACCGTACAGTGCTTAAAACAGTCTTAGATGATAAAAAGATAGACCGTCTCATTAGCGCGTATGATTGGAATTCATTGGGAATGTATGATCATATCACCACTTACAATTTGCTCGTAAATAGATTTAAAGAGATTTATAAAACCTCTTCCACGATTAAAAAGATAAAAAAAAGAAAACCAGAAAATATGTGGATTAATGATGATATTTTAGAACTATGTCATCAAAAAGAGAAATTATGGCAAAGATGCAAGCAAAATCCCGGTGATAAAAATCTTAAAAATGAATTTCGTGCACTCAGAAATAAAGTAACAGCTAGAATTCGATTGTCGAAGAAGAAGCATTACTTAAACGAATTTGCTTCAGCAGGAAATTCAAGGAAAACATGGGATCTCGTAAATGAGTTAATTGGTAGAAAAAGAAAAAAATATTGACGATACAATAAAAAATAATTTTCCCAGTATAGAAAACTACACGGAACTGGCGCAGTCCTTCAATAGCAGTTTTGTTAGTACTGTAAAAGCCTTAAAGCAGAATATATTGCCGCATGTGGGAAAAAATCCAGCTAAACAGATCGGCTGCTTAAATTCGGCACACTTAGCAGAGCTACACGAACAAGAATTGTTCGATATTATCAACTCAATGTCAATTACAAAGGTACCGGGGATAGATGAAATTCGTGTACGGGATTTAAAGTATAACTATCCAAAGTTAAAACTAATGCTACTTAAAATCATCAACGGCTGTTTGACAACGGGTGAAATTCCAGAAGGGCTAAAAGTATCAATAGTAAGGCCGCTTTATAAAAATGGCAATAAGAAAGAAGTTGGAAATTATAGACCCATATCTATATTACCTGTGATCGCTCACATCCTAGAGAAATGGGTTCAAAAATGCATGAATGGATTTTGCGACAAATTTTCGGTATTAAATGACGCGCAGTATGGCTTCCGAAAACAAAGAAGTACGATTTCACTACTAGAAGATTTCTCCGACTGTGTACATGAGACACTTGAAAATAATAAGATAGCGCTTGCCTTGTTTGTGGATTTATCTAAAGCATTCGACACACTCGACCACAAAATTCTATTACGCAAACTCGAAAAGCACGGATTCAGAGGTCCTTTTAACCGATTTTTTACAAACTACTTTACAGACCGATTTCAAATGGTCAAAATTAGTCACAACACAAGTGAAAAAGTAAGAATCGAATGTGGGGTGCCGCAGGGCAGTACCTTAGGCCCCTTGCTTTTTAATATTTATGTAAACGACCTAGGATCAATACCGTTGCAGTCTAGAATGTTTCAGTATGCCGACGATACCGTTTTATTATTACCACATTATGACTACGAGCAAGCGGTTCCTCTTTTTCAGAGTGAGATAAACTTATTAATAGATTGGTTCTCAAGTAACGAAATTTCTCTAAATACCAAAAAAACTAAGCTAGTATGTTTCCGTAACCCTCATAAGCGCATTGAACTTAAGACAAACATATATCTCCACCTTCATGAGCAAGATCAATCAATCTGCAGATGTAAGCCATTAACATATGAGTCTTCAGTTAAATATTTAGGTATATTTTTTGATGAGCACGTACTTTGGAAACAGCAGTTAGAACATATTACTAGAAGGCTCCGTTTAGTATCCGCGTATATATAGAAACTAAAAAGTGCATGCTGTGTAAAATTACGACAGTCTATTTTCAGAGCTCTAGGGGAGTCAATCTTACGGTATGGAATAACGATATACGGGAATTGTTCAGGGTACAAAAGAAAGGGCATTGATAGGGTCTTAAAGCATATTGCGAATAACGTTTCATATGGTTCAGTCCATGATGGCTTAGAACTGGAAGAAAAAATGAAGGCACTTGGCATACTCTCATTCGATCAATTTCATAAATATGTAGCAATAACAAGTAATTATTATAAAAATGATTTCAAATACGAGGTTAAGAAAAGAAATCTAAGGCGTACAGAGAGATTTATGTTGCCGAAAGTTCTAACAAATTATGGTAAAAAAGAAAGGAAATATTACATCCCTGCATTATTTAACGCGTTGCCTGAAACTTTAAGTAATTTAACATCCATTCGCGCGGTGAAACTAAAAGTCAAAAAATGGTGTCAAACGCTCGCTGGTAATACCTGTGGATAGAAGGTTGATATCGTTTGCATAGTGCACAGTTCTTCCTTATGTGTAATGATGTATGCAGTGTTTTGTTGGCTGCCTGGACCCACACACAAGCATTTCTGCTTTCGTGGGCCAGTACGCTATCTTGTGTAAAATATTTCTTTTCAGTAAATAAATAAAAAAAAAAAAAAAAATGATACTGATTTTATTGTTCATAGGTAGTGCTAATGGTGCTGATTTTATTTTTTTTTTTTATTGCTCATAGGTAGTGCTGAGTTCCAGGTTGCGTCTCGACTTCATTATTACTGCTTTATGGTCGGTGAAATGCAGAGCCAGTGGTTCTTCTAGCGGATCAGCTTGGATCCGCTAGAAGCCATGGGAACGCATCTCCACCACTTAAGTCAACGGTCCGTGTCAGAAAGAGAATGTGTGGTATGGATCGTGGTTATATACGCAGTTGAGCATTTGACCGCAGCGCCCTCTCGTCTATAAACGTTGAGCCAATGCATGCAAAGTTTAACGCGATTATATACGCATTTGACCGCAGCGCCCTCTCCTGCATAGACGTTGAGCGGCTACATGCAACGTTGGAGTGTAGCGTAGTGGTTAAGACGACTGCCTCGTAAGCAAGCAGTCCTGAGTTCGAACCCCCGTGCGGGCGCACATTGTTTTTTTTTTTTTAAGTGAGTCGATCCCGGAGGCAGTGCAATCGATGCGAGCACGGGCCCCGGACGGATGGACAATGCTAGACCCTAAGGAGCTTCGCCCCTAAAAGGAAAGAGTGGAGGGCTTTATGGGAGGAGGTTGTCTTGGCCTCTAAACCTGCAACAGACTACCGTAATATCCCGAGTCGTCGCCCACCCCACTTTTTGGGCGAAAATCGATTTCCAAAAAAACACAAAGTGATTGCCCACCCGTACAAATACCCCAAAGCGCACTCAGCGATCAGAGAACATTAATCCAACCCGAATGACGCGGCCACGGGCCTTGCGGTTAGAAGATGTCCGCGCCAAAATAAAACGAAAGAGGGAAAGACACTGCATTTTGTTCATGCATTTCCTCCCCGATTTCCGTAGCCTCAAAGTTGGGAGTACAAGCGTACAAAGGGAAAACGGTGGCAATAACAAAATAATCTTGCTTACAAAAAAATTAGTTTGGAGAAGGAAAAAAAAATAGGAACGATAACACAAGAACCCATTCAGAGATTGCGAGGTCAGCAAATGCCCCATATTCTGGAATGTAACCGTGGAGAGTAAGGTCAGAGCCCATCTCTTTTGGCACTTGAACTACTTTCAGGATATGGTCACTATACTAACTGATGATTTACTCTCACATCCAAATACAGGTGCCAAAGTAAATGTATTTGTTACCATTTTTCTCTACGTACTAACCGAGCAGAGAGGTAAGGCTTCTTTGTATTAGCATTGGGGAGGGGCGGGGGGGAATCCACAATGAAAAAGGAAGCGATTCCTATCGCCACAATTCAAGGAGTTAGTGGGGTACAGCCGACATGCCTGTGGCTAGAGGGTGCTCGTGATCTAACCAAGTACTATTTCGAAGCGATCATTTGGAAAATGACCCATTTGCAGCAAAGATTTTGTTTAGACAGGTAGACCTTGGGTGCCTCAATGCGATGACATTCTTTGTAGTAGAACTATGCAGACGGCATGCACTTCGCCAGGAAGCAGGAAAAAAAATGCCACCTCAGCACGGTCGAAGCTAAGGGCTTGTGTCTGGAGGCACTCCCTCACATGCTCCTGAACAAAATTAGAGACGCAAGCGTCGTACGGAAAATAGTCTGGTGTCACCAGCCAAAACGCAGCCCACACGAAGGTACTAAGGTCGACTCTATAAACACAATGCCTGGAATGCATCTGCAACCGCTGTGTTTACCGTCCCATCCCCCCTATGCATCCAAAGCGGTGATAAATAGCAACAAGCTGGCGTGTCATGCTGTCAGACGTCACGGTTCTGGCAATTGGTCGTAAAAGTTCCGGCACCGGCCAGAGATATGAGCAGACGCAAATGTTGCTGCGGTTGCGACGTCCGAACATGTTGCTGCTCAACCTTTCCTGGGCTGTAAGGCTGGCGGGCAACCCTCAGCAAAACAGTCGTCTGCCGTATCAGACTCCCCTGCCGTGACGCTGTCGGGATTGCCTCCGTTGACAGCGTGACACAAGTGTGGGGACATCAAATGAGAAGGTGGCAAAAGGACCGGCCGAAAACGCGTTCCAGGCACCGTACCCCCGCCACGTGCGCAGGCCGTGGCCCAGAGTCCCTCACCATGCCCTCCATGCCGTGGGGCAGCATCATGACGAGGCCGCTCTGGCGCACCCACTTGGCCTGCCCGCTGCTGATGAACTGGTCAATGATGCACTGGGCCGTGTTCATGAAGTCCCCAAACTGGGCCTCCCACATCACCAGGGCGTTCGGGTTAGTCATCGAGAAGCCCAGCTCAAAGCCTGCATCCGACCAATCGGATGGCCGACGAGAAAGACAATGCACGTTAGGGTTTGCAAAGAGAGAAAAAGCTTCGTGCCAATTTGAACAAAAAGAAATGTGCGTTACCTATTCGATCTCGGTAGGATGCATTTTTTTAAAAGACTGTCTAGAAACCTTTAACACCCATTCCCGGGAAAGAGACACGGGTGTTGGGTCACTTCATTAAACATTTGTGTTGCAAGTTGGAGAGCTGACTCGTCCAGTTCTTATCTGTTTTATGCCTTTCCCTCCGCTGTTGATTGAACTACCTTTGTCTTTTGCAGATAAGCTTCTCTATGGGGCCAGGTATCTTACCTATTCAACAGAAATATTTAATAAATATGTTACAGTGGCTATGCTAACATACTGAAACCACAAGAAATGGATGAAGTTGTAGTTTTAAACTAACAACCTGTTCGCTCTGTCTTTACATTGTAGTTTTACTTTGTGAACATGTATTCATTTTAATGGGTTAGATTGCATGAAGGACCTGATCATCTGAACTGGCAATAGAAGTAGGTTTTTCACATTCATCCGAGCCTGCTCCTAGGTGGCTTCTCATGCTTGCAGGGTGCACTGCTATACATGTGCACACAAACCTGCCCGGAAAGACCCAAACCCATTTTTCCAGGTAGATTTGTGCGCACGTGTGAAGCGTAGCAGACAAAACCTTGGTGGAACACTCTGTAAAATACAGCCTAAAGTGTGTGACAGTTCTCAGAGCGGGAACGACTCTGAAAGTAGAATGAGCCTACCTATGTAACAATAAAAAGATGGGAGTGCGATCGACAGATTAGCCAAGGTAGAAATCTGCGTGGGCTTGGGCAAGCCCGAAAGATTTAGCCCGACCCGACAGTTAGGTCGGGCCAATATATGAGAGCACCGTTTGGGTTCGGGTCGGGTTAGGGCCGATTTATCTCGAATTGCATCGGGCTCGGGTCACGCCTAGTTGGAGGCATTGGGTCCCGAGGGCCTGACCTTGAGAAGTATTCCAGAATTTGGGCAAAGATTTTTTATATTTGAAAACCAAAAAAAAAGTAGGGGAAAGTCTGTTTTAACACAAACAGCGCCAATCTGAATATTGTGACTCAGGTCATTAGGTTCTATACAAAGCCCGCTAAACTATGACGACCGTCTAGGCCGGTGGTTCTCAAATGGGAAACCGCGGCCCCTGCAAAGGCATTTCTAAGATCCAGGAAACCTTGCTCATCAGTGAACCCGGCAATAAACTTGATTTTGTTTTTTTCGTGTAGAGAACGGGTATATCCCCACCTTTGGGTAATTTTGTTTCGTATACGTCAATGAGAGAAGTCCAGTTTACAGGAGCACTTAGCTATATAATATTCCTTCATCCCTTCATATACATATCCCAAAACTTTCCCTCTCCCCACCCCGCGGAGCTATCACTTCCGCCAATCGACAAGCGGTCCCTGAAACATCAATGGTTGAGAACCACTGGTCTGCGACACAGTTATCAACATCAATGACTCTGCCCCACCAGACCTGGTGCGTTTGAAAAAAGCCCATGCGCACACTTTCTTGCAGAACACGCAGGAGTCAAGCCCTGCGAACTGCGGAAGGGTCATAGCGAATGGTGAAACTCAGGATGGGGTTAGACCTGGAAAAGCGATGTGTGCATTGTGCTGATAAAAATGAGCATGACGTTTATTGCTATTTTCTTTTATAAGCACGTTGCACATTTTAAATATAATCCTATCCTTGAGCTCCGTCCTACCCATCTTCCGTTCATGGGGCTAAGTTCGACATCGGCGTGTTGGTCAAGGTGTCGGTTGATCGCAGCGGGTTTGCCACCTGCTGCAATTGGTCAGCACCATACCTGACTGGATTGCTAACGCCTCAGGAAAGTCGCAAATATAGACCGGTCACATCACTATGAAGCACACGTCACAATACAGCATTTGCAATCGCATGAGGCGTGGCGCTGACCAATTACAACAGGGGGCAAGCTTGCCGATCAACTTGTTGATGTCGAACTTACACCCGTACTTATGCGTCTCGCAGGAAAGTACATACCATTTTGTTCAAGTGTGTTCACCATTAAATTATTCATGTGCCGTTTTAACATGTATAGGGTTGAGCGACAACTCAAAAATTAACCTGATCATTTGCTACTGATTAATTGAATACTTATAAAATTAATCAATTGCACTGACAGCCAGACATAATATGCGATACTGTAAAAACGACCAAAACATGTTCTCTGCCTATTTCTTACTTTGCATCACTGGCGAAACAAAGAGAACTATTTGAAACACGCATCATCGTTCTAGAAACAGCCCAGGTAAACAAAATGGCTGTGCAGACCTATGAAACAAATGTGTTTAACTTGATTGGAAATTCTCGTTCAATATAAACAATGCCATGCAAAACAAAGGCAGAATTAATGGTTCGGTGTAATTCGAGCCGGGTTCGGGTTGAACTCATGTCGAAAATAGCAGTTGGGCTCGAGCCCAGATCGGGCCAAATTTGCTTTTGGTCAAGTTGGGCTTGGGCTTAGGTTTAGAAAGTCCAGTCGGGCTCATGCCGGGTTCGAGCCAAGGCTTTATCGGGCCAAGGCTTTATAGGGTCGGGTCTGGCTTAAAATTCCGGCCCGATCTGATCTCTAGACTGAGGCTCAAAACAAAGAAGAGGGGGAGGCCTCACCCAACACTCCGTACTCCGAGAGGGAGCTGTTGCACACCGTGTAAGGCGCCTGGTCCGGCCACAGGTGGCACAGGGGCCGGTAGGTGGTCTTGTCTATGGTCTGGTGGTGCAGCACATGGTGCCGGTGGCTGCAGAGAACATCGGTCGGAGTCACCACTAGGGTGGCCATGTGGGCTAGTCAGTTCATGATGACAAAGGGGCAAGCAGCGCTTGTCCCATGCACTTCTTTTACTTTGTCCCTGTTTCTAGCACGCTGTTTGCCCTTTTGTCACCAGTAGGGTGCCATGTTTCCGGTTATATGCCGATAAGCCCTAAAGATGAACCCCCTGGCAGGTTTTACAGAACTGGAAAAACTGAAAAGCCCCAAATCGGAGCTGTCCTTAAATGAGAAAAACCCAAGTCTCATGAGAAGGAATAATTTGCCTACAGATTTATTTCATGTTGACCCAAAACATAGCCCACACTCAACTGATTGCGAGGGGGCTTCTTTGTTCTCCTTATTGGGACGGTTTCCAAATACTACACGGGTCACGCGCATGTTCCCTAGAGGATGGGGAATCCTACAGCTGTGTCTACGCCCCGACAAACGCCTACCTATTTGAGATTTATAGCTCCGCTTGCTACATGCAAATGTCCTTTCTTCAATCTCAAATTTGGAAAATAAAAAAAAACCAAGCACAAATTATGAAGGCAGATTGACAGGAAGAGCAGCCTAACGTATGCTCTCGCATGTTAGCCACGATCAGATTTTTTACAATTTTATGGCAATGTAGCTGTTGATGCTTACATTGCCATAAAGTAGGTTCAAGTAGTTTCCGTTTCTTTAAATTCACCAGGTGCACCCGTGCACTATCCCGGTTTGAAAATGGGCTTTTCTCCGCAGAGCAAGGATGCGCCGTGGCAAAGCAAGTACCGCGTGTATAGCTTTTCCGAAGGTGTACCGGCGCTCGGTAAGAAGCGAGCTCAACAGGGCTCACCCAATGCAATCTACACTTTGAAGAGCATGAATGCTGCAGTTCATATCGAAGGGAACATCGAACAGCGTATTATTCGAAACTACCAATAGAAAATTCCACTAATCGCACAAACCTAAGCTTTAAAAAAACGGGGTGCAGCAGTCGGCGTTACCTGAAGGTGCCCCTCTCGACATCCTGGCCGCTCAGCCGCACGTGCACACCCTCCTTGAGCAGGGAGCCGAAGGCCATGGCCTCCCCGAGGGCCCAGTCCACCTGCTTCTGCTCCACCATCTCCATACGGGACTTGAGGATGCGCTTCAGGCCTGGGTGGATCTTGAAGTTGCCCGGTGGGGGGGACGAGAAGGCCACCCCGACGTGCCGCAGGATCTCCTCCGAGACGCCCGTCGGGTCGCACTTGATCGGGTCCCGGTCCCCGAAGAACCCTGGGGCAGCCGTCTCTTTACACTCGCATCCTCTAACAGGAGCACTATTTACGGAATTTTCTTGAGCGCTATTCGGGTGTAAAAAAAATTTACGAATAAGCCAATGAACGGAATGCGACGAAACTTCTTATGAAGGTGCTTTTCGGTTGTGCACATACGTTGTGCTTAAATTTCGTAGATGCAGGTTTCAGAAGATATATTCGAAGAAAGAAAATTGCGTTATTTCTTGCGCGGGAAGAAGAAATGAGCAGTTCCGCAATGACACATGGCACATTCACATCAACAGCTGCGTCAAGTCACAGCAAAGTCGTTGGGCGCCGGTGTCGCGTTCACGCACCGTGGGAAAAGTTTCAATCGACTCAGTTGTCCCAAGCACGCACCTTGCAGTTCTCCCAACCACGAATGGCGAGATGCATTGGAGTTGTTGCCGGCGCATCTTTTTACACCTCGTGATGAGCGTGACTCCAGCATTCGGCGACACCAAGCAGCCCACGTCTGGCGCTTTGTGCTGTACTCTTGTCGAAATTCAATGTGTCTGCCGCTCGGGGCAACTCAGGGATCCGCAAAACTAAGACGTAATGTGCAAGACCGTCTTCTAGGTGGTATTGGACGGATAGATATGGCTGAACCCTACTAATCGGGCAGGGGCGTGCGCCACCTAGCCGTAGCTTTTTATTTCAACAATTGACTGAGATCAAATTTGAAATCGAGGATGACGAAGAATTTTCTGTCGCGATGTCGCAGCAACTGTAGCCGTACTGGCACGCACTACACTAGACTTGTACGCGCATGTTTGTTCCATAAATACCGTATCTAAAACGGATTGTGAAAGCTGCAGCATAACTCCGAGGTAACGCACCTGCTTCACACGCGGCGGACCCGTGATAGAATTTCTGAAAGCGGCAGACGTTCTCTTTTCAAGAAGTTGGCAATATCGATGACGGACGCCCTAAACCCAACTGCTTTAACTACGACGTCAACAGCAAACATCATTTCCGATGGAGCCCGTAGCAGCCATTGGCGAAAAACAGAATTGGACCGTTGGGTTGACGCTCACACTCGCGGATGGTAGCTCGGATCTGCTGCATCTGTTTTTGGCGTGCCCATCTCAAAAAGAAGCTTTCAAGTTCTGGCTCCACAGGGATGGAAGCAGTGTTTGATTTTTAATGAGAAAGCATTACCTGGGTCCCATGGAGCAAACCGACGTCATCGGCGCGCCAAACAGCACCTCAACTCCTTTCTCCAAGTGAAGCCAGCTCCCAGCTATGAAACCACGCGAAAAGCCTCGCCAAACGGCACATAGTTTCCCCGATCCCAAAGGAGCGGAGTGAAGCTGATGGATTTTGGCTTCAGTACCATTGGCTGGCGCGCGTCGTAGTTTCAAGGAACGAGGCTTCCATTGGCCGCTGCGCGTCAGTTTCAACGACTGCCACCCCATGGCCACAGCGGCATGGTCAGCGGCATGGCCACAGCGGCGAAAAGAGGGCGTGCTCTGCCGTCGACGCAGATACACAGCAGATAAAATAAGGGAGCGGAAGAATGAAGTGCGTGCCTTTGCATTCACAACTCATAAGAAAAGCTTATGTGTACCTCGAGCCTTTTTGTGGTAGGTTTTGTAACAGGCAAATTGTTGGTTTGAAGCAGTAACACTCTTAAAGGGTAACTGCAAAGAAAAAAAAAGTGTTTTGTTAAACAGCCTAATTGAGACAAGCATGTCGCAAAACAAATCTTCCGATAAAAACCACATTTTTTCTACCAATATTTACGCCACAAGATGTAATTTAGTCGAGGTCAAAACTTCTCTACATTTGAAACTCCCGCTCTTTCTATGCGCGCGGAGTGGCTGTTATACGTCACTACGTGACATATAGTAGCCACTCCGTGACGTATAATACCAACTTCGTGGCGCACGATTTGAAACGGACGAAATAGCCGCAAACTAAAATCAGACTCGCGCAATATTTCTGAAAAAATTTTGTTTTTGGCGGAAACATTGTTTTGGGACATGCTCGTCCCAATTAGGCTGTTTAAAAATACACTTTTTTTTCTTTGCAGTTACCCTTTAAATCAGATGTCAACATATGTTAGCATGTCACTTAAAAATGAAGCCATGACTGCACCACTAAATGAGTCCATCTTTGATAACGAAAAAGGAGTTCTGTTTGATATTGAAGAATATATTACTTACAGTAAAACCTCGTTATAACAAAATGGGATATAACAAACTAATGGATATAACAAAGCAATCATAATTCCCCTTGCTTGCTAATAGAGGGAAGAAATGGACATTGGCTATAACGAACTAATGTTTATAACGAAATAATTATGACCACTCCTTCAACTTTGTTATAACAAGGTTTTACTTATTACCTTTTTTAATAATACGAGGAAGTGGTTATAAAATGAACACACAACTTTTAGTTCAGAGTAGATTCTGTTTAGAATAAGTAATAAGAAAAAAATGTCTAAAAAAATTAATCATAGTGCAACACTTCAGTTCAGATAACTGAAGTGTTCCCCTTTACACATCATATTTATTCAAGTTTAGGTTCACATTTTTGTACTTTTCTCGGCACAGCTCTTTAAAATTGAAGGTCGACCACCTACCACCAAGACACAAGATCAACCTGCAATAGTACAGAGCACAACTTCTAAGCCCATCGTGCTAATCGAGCTGCTCCCTCATGCGTGGAACCAAGAACTGCACAACAAAATTAACCAGCAAAAAAATGCTAATACAGAACAAAACACAATGATGCACCATTTAATGTTGCTCATCCAAAAACACAAAATGATGTTTCCAGGTTAAATGCTTTTCAAGTGAATCCCCCACCAAAAATCGGAGGGAAAGGCTGTAAGCTTTTTTGGACCACCCTTTACACTCGTGCATTTTTGAAGCGGCATTGACTTAAAAAGAGTTTTGTCTGGCAACGGCACTTTTTTTAATGCGAAAGCAATAACTACCGTATTTATTCAAAAATAAGTCAACCTTTTTTTTTTTTTTTTTTGGAAATGTTGTCAAAAAATTATGGGTCAACCTATAATCGTGACCCAAGAATTTTTACCTACATTCGCGACCAAATTTTGCCACCCTACTGAGGGCATGGGGGTATCTAATCACCGAGCCGAGCCGGCGTCATCGTAGAGGTGCCGCTTCTTGTTTCAGAAAGCTTTTAGTGGAGGAAAACAACCAAAACAGCAGCGGCCAACCCCCACCCACTGTGGCCTCTGCTCTCACAAACATCCCTAGGGCGTCGGCGGGTTTCGCCATCGTGCCTGTAGCATTCCCCTGGCTGGGCAAAGGGGGAAAGGGAAAGAGAGGAATGCGATGCGCCATGCACCTTGCCTTCCATCCCTCTCCCTCGCAAATGCGCACAAAAAACAAAACAAAAAACGTTATGTTCTGCCTTGATCGATACGTAACAGAAGTGCACAATTCTTTTTTGTCGCTGTGCGATAGCACCATGGCTGTAGCGAGCAATGTTGCATTTCCTCTTCGGTGACAGTGCCACCACTGTGCACTGTTGGCACCTTGCAGCTCTCTGCAAAACCAAAGTGGATTCAGTGATCCTCGCCGTCGTCTGCTCGTCTACTCCTCCATGTGAATGCACTTCGGAGGTGGACAATCCACGGATGTGTTGTCACGCGAACGATCTGGCCACGGATCAGTCCTTCTTATGAATTGGGAGGCGCCGCCGGCACTATGTTGGCAGCTTTTAGCACGCAAGAACCGGGAAAGCAAATGCACTAAGCAGGAAATTACATTCATATGAGAGTTTGGGGGACCTGGCACTTCTGAATGCAAAAGCTGGAAAAATGTAGAACCCAAGAATGTATCAATGAGGTTGCACTGTATTAGATCAACTGATGTTAATTACTATTTATCTTTTGTTTCGTTTAAGCATATCTCAGTGATGTGATTGGCCTAAGCCGTTTTGGAGCACCTTTTGGAGCAGCCAAAACGGTGTTTTGGAGCAGCAAAAGTGGCCTTTGGAGCAAGCAAAACAGTGTTTTGGAGCAGCAAAAGTTGCTTTCGGAGCAGCCAAAACAGTGTTTCGGAGCAGTAAAATTGGCTTTTGGAGCAGATATTCTTAGAAAAATAAACATATTCGTTTTAAGTGCTGGACAAACGAAGGACACTTCGCTCGCCGCAATAAACAAATTATGGTCAAGTTTGACCACCTGGGAGTCTTTCAACATGTAACTGAAATGCCAATGACATGACACATTTTGCAATCCTTCAGTTAAATTATACATATATATGTACCGTTATAGATAAATAAGGACCAAACTGCACATATTAAAATTTATTTGAAAATGACCAGCTTATTAGTAAATATCACAGCATTAGGTTGACTACCGTAGTTATATAATATAATAAACGAAAGCTGTCTCCGACTGATAAAATACGCAACTACTGCAGTGCAATAAGAAATCATACACAAGACAAAGGTGCATTGAGACTAGCGGGTGCTTTTCTTTTTGCTTTTCGAAACTTTCTACAAGGCTGCTGCAAGCCTCGCTTTGCCTTTGGCTAGTAATGACTTCCCACTTTCAATATCTCCAAAGAGACATTGAGACGTCCCACAAGTGAACAGTGCTGTGGGCGGCGGCGTAGACTTTCCATTTTCCCAGAGGGAGGGGGAGGGGGGGGGCATGGGATCCGGCTCTGCACGCCCCCCTCCCCCGGATCTCACCAGGGGGCACGAGCCCCGATGCCCCCCGAAGTCTACGCCTATAGCTGCGGGCGTTGCCGAGCGATTTCGAAAAACCGCTCGCCACAGTTTTACTGGTTCCCAACGTGCCAGATTTTCGTCAAAATTAAGCAAACGTAAAACAATGGGCTGCAAGCGTCCCGGCTGGTGCCTCTGTCGTGCAGTCATGTTTGCATGCACATGAGGGCAACTTCGGCAGGCTTGCATTGGCACGTGCTTCGTCGCGCGAGCGGAGATGGCTGTTCGATCGAAACAGACACCATGCCACTCCGCTCCGTCGCCAACTGGTTCCCAAATTGTATGCAAAATGTAATTTTCCAGCATACGACAAAAAACAGTCCAGCGGCACGTGCTTGCCAGGCCGGCAGGCGAGGTAGAAGCTAAACACACAGAAAAAAAGAACCTGAGCGAATCAGGTCAAAAAGTACTTGGAGTGCTTTGTACAACGACAGAAGCACTGAAGCGTCAACACATGCCCGCGTCTATTGTTGAAATTTTTTTTTTAAAAAAGACGCGAGACGAGACACATGAACGACGAGAGCGTGAAACGAGAGGTGGCGGGAAAAACTATGCAAGACCGGATGGACGATTGATACAGGGTACTTTTTGTTGGTCGGCCGCTTGCGCTACCTAACTCATGCATGCTCAATTACGGTACTCAGTTTAGTTTCGGTTTTGAAAGACGACCAAAATTGGTCTTTTGGTGCAGGCTTTATTCTTTATTCTTTATTCAGATAGCTCCTGCAGCGCCGTTGAGGCATTATTGCAGGGGGCGAACAACATAGAAAAAAACATTTCTGCATTTGCGGCACAAACAGTTTCAACACTTAAATTGTTCCAATCCCTAATGGTCCTAACAAAGAAAGAATTTTTGCACAGTTCCGTCCTGGTGGATTATTCGCGTATTTTGTGGATATGATCTTTACGTTGGGAAATATAGTAAGGGGGTAGAAGGTAATGAAAACCGTTAATACCAGTGTGTTTAGTATAAATGCTATATAGAAATTTTAAGCGCAAATTTTTCCGCCTGAATGTCAGCAAATCCCAGCCTAATGTACTCTTCATGTCCGTGACGCTCGAAAAGCGGTCGTACAGCCCCAGGACGAAGCGTGCCGCACGATTTTGGATCCTCTCTAAAGCGTCTATGTGATTTTGCTGAGCAGGATCCCACACAGTGATTACCCATATTTTGGCAAAATGTAGCAGAATGTAGCAGGGTTTGCCCCTTGGCGCAGTTTGGCGCAATTGGCGCAGCAATCACATCACTGATATCTCGGTGCTCGTGTGGCACAACACTTAGCAAAAATTACATTTGGCACGATACGTAACAGATTTATGTTCATAGTGCACTTTAGCACAAATGTTGCAGCAGTTCTACTACTGGTTCCACGTGATGCCATCGCTGAATAGCAGTGTTAAGAGACACAAGTGTCAAATCGCAATTTTTCGGCAGAAAAATGTTTTTTAGATTTTTATTTGTAGGGGTTCAGCAACTAATAACGCACTATTTCCTAAAGTTTTATAGCGATATCTGCAATATCTACGAAGAAATAAAACATTTTCGACGAGCCGACGACATTAAAGTCTGATGTTTTGCAAAAGAGAGACATCAAGTTTACCGTAGCTCTGCGACAGTGAGACCTAGAACTATCACCATACCATCGTTGTAAACGGCATTTCTCATGATCCCGATACGGCAAGTCCCTTTGTTTGAGAGTAAGCAGTGCACAGGTGAGAATTCCATAGAAATCCATAGAAATCCATCTTCCACATGCCCAAAACTCTCAATGCCTATTTTGATTGGACAAAAAACCAAAACTACAAAGGGGATTGGCTTACAGCGAGTCACGTGGGTTTGTCTGCTTTGCTTACCGACTGTGCTCGCCGTTGCTGGATAGTCCGTGTATCGAAAGCGCATCAGATTCCTTGCTTGTTTTGCGATCAATGTCAACATGCCGGTTATGAAACAATATTCAATGGAAGCCCCTGGATCTCCCTCTCGCTTGGCAAAGCTGTGCGGCAGGTCAGGTGGACGCTGCTCGCACGGACCAACTCAAATTGTGCCATCGTCACATGCCTCGTCTTCCGACCAAGGGGGATCGCCGTCGTCGCTGCCTAGCCCATAGCTTTCTGCCCGAATAGCTTTACTGATGGAGCCTGGATCTTCAACCTCAAAGGAAATTGAGCCCCAGGAAGAGGAAAATGTGCTTGCGGCGATCAAGTTTTCAGCATCAAAAATAGATAGCCCCCCCTCCATATGCTCTGGTTGAGACTCAAGCTTAGATGCGCTAAATACTGTGCAACTATTTGGTATGATAGATTTCCTAAGAAACAGTGGTGACCCTTTACCAGGTGCAGACACCTCTTCTTGTAGCCCCACATAAAACTGTCCTATGAAAATGAAAGGTTGTACGGTGCAACTAGGGATAGAAGCGAGGACACCCTCTAAATTTCATAAAAATCGAGTGACCAAATAAAAATCTGATTATTTAAGGTGGTGTTTTTCCTTAACCATGGCTTGTTTCAGTTTTGTTCCCCGTGCATACAAATAACAAAATTTTTCTGGCTTGAATTTTCATCTAGAAACCCGCACTGGAAACATTTCAGTATGGTACAATCCACTTATAATGATAATGGGAGAACACGAAAATGCAATCATTATAACCGATTATTGTTGAATCTGACTAACCGATCGCTTCTAATCTCAAAACACTAGAAACTGATTGTTATAAGTGGTACATTGTTATATGTGGTATAGCTGTAAGTGGATTGCACTGTATAATAAATGCAGCACCTAAAGATACCTTTGCAAAAAATTTAATTGCACTCTGTTCATTGGCTTAGATACAATATTTTTTCCCCCCAAATAACGTTTGGAAACACCCTGTAGAAACGTGACCTCATTTTAAAAAAACAACACTAATTCTAATAGCTCGCAAAACTCTCGAAGGAAGTGTCTAAAGTGTCATTCCTTTACTCCAAAATAAATTATTTTTGAAGCGCCAGCGGCTGCGCACACGCTTGCCAAAAATCTGTACAGTCGGCCTTAACGTATTTTTGCCCTCGCGAGATTTGGCCCCCAAATTTCGCAAAGTAATTATCCGCCGTCAACAAAAATTTAATCCCGCTAAGTGGAGGGATTACTTTTTCCAGCTCGTTTTATGGCGGTCGAAATGTAATAATGACTGCGTACGCCGTCACGGACCGTGTAAAGCACTTCATTAGTGAAAACAGAGAAGCAACATGGCCCACAGGCACGACCCAACCCCCGACAACCCGGTTAGCACTGTGAAGCTTGCACTCACCGCTCCACGGAGAGTCGAGCCAGTCCCGGTTGTAGGATTTTCCCTCCTTCTCTGCATTCTTGTACGCTTCGGCCAGGATGCCATCGTACCTCTCTTTCTCATCCTGCAGAGAAAGCATTGCTCGAAAACCGGCCTTGAAGCACCTCTGAGAAACAAATCCGCTGCGTCGCTCTCAGTCAACCCAAATATGCTAAAAAAAGTTTGGGAAACCCAAACGCAGAGCACCTTTGACGGCACATTTGTTGTAAAAGCTGTATACCTAAAGCACCCAACTTACAGAAAAAGATGTGTACAGTAAAACCTCGTTGATACGTTTTGAAGAAACCGTGAGAAAAAAAAACAACATTACCCGGGAAAACGTACGATCTGAACTTACTATTTTTCAGCACACACACACACACACACACACAAAACAAGCAGCAGTTCAAAAACAAGCAAAAACAAGCAGTTCTACGATGAGAATGCCAAACGAATTGAGATTACACAGCACAGGAAAAATAGTGAAATGGGATGGCACGGACTTGGGGCAGAACGCGAAGTCAAAGCTGCCGAAGCGTTGGCGAAACTTGATGAGGTAACGAGATCTGAGCCAACACAAAGAAAGAAACAAAGACATGCCAGGTTCATTCATTTACTACTAACCACTACTACTCCCTTGCACGTCCTAGTCTAGAGTTACTCTTGTGCACTCTTGCAATCGGTGCTTTCAACCTTCCGAACAATGTCCCTAAGTGCTTGCTGGAGTTACCGAGAGTCACCCATAATTACGTGTCTACTTAGGAAACGTTTTAAAAGCCATAAGCGAACATACTGCTCCGGTGTTGACACCTGAAGTGAACATGCGCTCTCACGGGCGAAGCTCAATCAATAGACAGCAGTTTTTGGGTTTCGATTTTTATGCTGCTGCTTTGGTTGCTTGTTACGACAGCATTCGTGCTACTTTCACCAGCGGTAGCGTTTGACGAGAGGAAAATGAATGGCAGCATCAGATGGACGCACTGTTGTTACGAGCGGTTATTACGCCGACGAAGCGGTGCGGACGCTAACCGCCAATAGCCGAGAACGCCGGCGAAGAGTGCCGAGGTTTTCGTCCAAGCCGCCAGAGTTGCAATCGAGATACGTAAAGTATGTACTTGGAATCCTTTACTAGTATTTCATGGGAAAGATTCTTTAACTACGGTAATCGAATAATAAGCTAAGACAGTAAAACCGCGCTGTGTGTTCTGTAATTCCAATCAAAACGCCCTTGTGCACCCGGACGACTCTTGGAAGTTGCAGAGAACAATAGATGCAGCGGCGGTGTTATCAGGGGGGAGACCGCTCCGAATGCGCACGCTGTGTCGGTCGTATGCCCCTGAGGACAGCTGCTAGGCGCTCAATCGTCTAGACCAGACGTTCGGAGCTCCGACTATGCGAGTGCAATGTTGATTGCCAAAAAACTTATAGTCCGATCAACATTTGGCAGAATGTTGAGCGTACTTTCCCGGAAATCGTGTTATCCGGGAACGTATGAACCGGAAAAAAAAACAGCGCAACTCTATGGGACATTTCCTGTGCCCTCACTCGTGAACGTATGAACCGGGAAATCGCATGAACCGGGAATGTATCAACAAGGTTCTACTGTACCACACAAAGAAACAAAAAAGCTGGTTTGGTTGAGACAATGATTTTACCTTTATAAGTGATCCTTGTTCTTTCTAAATAGTACTCACTAATAACTTCATTCATTCAATCATTCATTTATTTTATGTGATCATGAACAGACAAAGCCTCGGTAATGAAGCACAGCCGGTGTATTAGACGGTGGTAAATAAGGACTTCAATGCAACAAACCATGGGTCAGAAATCTCAAACTCTGCTACATGAAGGTTATTACGCGAGTGTCGAATACGAGACATGGGGCTAGTTTGGATGACCTGATGCACCTCAAACGTTGAAGAGGTTTGCAAAGCTCGCCTCAGAACATGAATGTTGATAGATGATGTAAGATTAGGGGAATGAATTATCCCATGCAAACACTTCAAAAAAAAAAAAAAATTTCAGCCACGGCGTTCAGAAGTCATAGCGTAACTGCATTTTTTTATGTCTTTGACATTCATAGTAAAATGAATAACCAACATAACGATTGTAAAAAATATAAAAGACACACTTTCGAACATTGTCTATTTTCTGTTGGCTCGTACGTACAATACTATTGCAGATGAGAGGAAAATTCCAGCTTGGTTCGTACTAGCGAAGAATATAACCGAAATATACCAGATAATGTAGGAAATTAGCAGGATGACGTAGCTTCGGGCCTTAGGAGAAAAAATAGAAACAAACACGGTACAAGTGTGCCATTTTGCGAAAAGAGATCAGAAACAAAGGAGTGGAGTTTTGGCCATGTAAAACTGGGTTCAGCTCACCACATCGGGACAAAAAGTGGCGACACCTCTAAGGCGTGCAAAAGGAAATGGAAATGAACAGCAGAGGATAGAGTAAGATGGCTCACAATACCAACAATGGGCTTACTGGGACGTAGGGACCCGCTCTGAACCCCTAACCCTTTGAAGCAAGAATTTTTAAACCTGCGCTGAAGAACTTATGCCCGCGAATTCCGCGATTTTGAGGTGTGTCCTGGCGGAAGTTGTAGAGAGGACCACGAATGTATATGTGTCGTTAATCTTTGAGTGATTGCAAATATCACAGCTACAAGGATCATCTCATCCGGTGTCCGATGGTGCTTCTTTTATATTCACCGAAAAAAACCGGTAAACTGTTTTGGGAATAAATATATGCCAAAAAAAAAAACGAAAATTGAATTTTACAATAAACACCGAAAAAAGTATGCCGAGTTTCGAAAAAATAAAAACCGAAAACGCAGAACCCTAAACATGGGCAATGGTCTTATCAACCCCATGCATAAAATGTAACGCTGAAATTTGACACCGGAATTTGATGCTGGGACGTTTTGTGATGGAGATAAGCGCATAAACACATTCCGCGTTAAAAGGTCAGTTGCCTCGATCGCAGCTGACAGAACGTGCACACCCCCGTCGTAGTTGGGAAGACGCACCTCGATCTCCTTCTCGGTGACGACACCCTCGTCCAGCAGCTTGCGTGCGTAGATGTCGAGGGCTGTAGCCTGCTTGCGGATCTTGGTGTACATGAGTGGCTGGGTGAACATGGGTTCGTCCACCTCGTTGTGGCCATTGCGACGGTAGCACACCTGCAATGACGCAAATCAAGCCCCCTCTTATTCGGTGCCCGTCACACGAAATCATTGCTCGAGCTCCCAATGCCCTTCGGTGCCCCGACAGTCACTCTAAACAGTGGTTACAGAAATTGAGGAGATCAATTATATGTGGCGTCCACAAAGTCTTTTAACAACTTTGCACGCTTATTATGGACACCCTGTACTGGGCAAGTTCATTGTATTTGTTGTGCATTAAACTGTACAAAGCACTGTCATGCCCGCTTAAAACGAAGTCGGTTATAACAAAATGGCAGCTAAAGCGAAGTGATCACAATTTCCCATTCCCATTTGCACTTTTTCAAGGTACTATTTCTGTCTGTTCTTTTCAGCAAAGGAAATTGGGCAGCTCCCACAGACACAGCAAAGAGAAATTTTGTGATAATATAAAAAATAATAAAATTCAGAAAGTTTACTTAGTCGCAGACCGCCGCATTTCCTGCCGAAGCAAACACTAAGTATTTATTAATTAGCAATAAAATCACTACAGTAATTACTAATTAATTATTGAGTAATATCACTTATAAAGAGCTAATAATTAATAAAAAGCTTTAAAAAATAAAACGCTCCAAAAAATACTTTTTTTTGCGCTTATTTTCTCAGCTACATTTGTCTCTCACCCAGTGTATTCATAATAAGTGAGCAAATTGGTAAAAAGGGTTCGCGGACACGCTGTACATTTCCGTCCCTTTATACCGCTGCTCCTGGAGGCAGCCCACTTGCGAATCAGCTTCAATCCAAAGTTGGCTATTGCATACCGGGTGATTCAATAAGACGGAGGCTCTTTAAATCGACCGGAAAATTCGGTTTCCTAACCTATCGCGCTACGACTTTGTGCAGCGTTGCCCCCAGATGGTGCATTTTTTTTGTAAAATTTGCAAAGAGCAAACTTACCTGAGGAAAAAGTAAAAAAAAAAAAAGGCTTAGCTCCTATGGAAACGCAGCGACGCCTCCGGTCTTCAAACAACACGGCGCCGTTTCGCATGGGAGACAAGAGATGGCGCAAGCGGTCGCGACGCCAACTGCGGCCAACAAACGAGCAGATGACGCCGAGAGCCGGCCCTTTAGCAGACAAGGAACTGCAGTTCCTTGCTGTTACCGCGCCTGTCTTTTTTGTTTCTGCGACTGTCGCCACCTGCGGAACGCGCGCCGCTTTTGAGTCGAAAAGATTGTCTGCTAAAAAGGCCTGCTCTCGGCGCCGTATGCTTGTTCGTTGGCGGCGTTTGTTGTGCCATCTCTTGTCTCCTGTGCGAAACGGCGCAGTGTTGTTTGAAGACCGGTGGCGTCGCTGCATTTCCATAGGAGCTAAGCCTTTTTCTTTCTTTACTTTTTCCTCAGGTAAGTTCGCCCTTTGCAAATTTTACAAAAAAAAATGCACCATCTGTGGGCAATGCTGCACAAAGTCGTAGCACGATAGGTTAAGAAACCGAATTTTCCGGTCGATTTAAAGAGCCTGCCGTCTCCTTGAATCACCCAGTAGAATCAAATATTGTCCCTTCCCTAATCCCTAAGCCAACCCCATTTCATAGGTTCTCCCAAATTTTGTGTCCCGGTACATGGCAGGTCTGCGGGTAGTGATTACACGACCACGCACCAGTATGACCCTCATCCGTCACATCCTGCATACTGTCAAATCTCGTTATTGTGAACGTCAGATTAACAAATTTTTCGGGTCCCCTTTTGATTTTCTATGGTTGTAATGTAAACATAATTCAGTAGTATGAATTTCAAAACTTTTTTTATATTTCAGAACAATGAACATAATTTAACCTCTTAATGGTTCAATCTTTCTAGCAAATATCACATCAAAATGATCTAATTTATTTATCCCTCTAAGTTTTAAAATAATGCATAGTAAATACACAAGAAATATAATCAAGAACATCTTTTCTACAATGTAATTAATTTTATGGACATTATTATTCAAAACTCATTATCCAGCAGATAGTTCTAAACATTGAAATAATTTCTTTGAAAGAGCAGTTTCAAATCAAAAGGCACATTGTGTCATCTTCATTACTTGACGAGCGAAACACAGTCAACTCCGTTGTCCCTGTCACCAGCATCGTCCATGGATTTTGAAAAGCCTGCCTCAGCACACCACCCACGTAATGTCATTTTTAATAGGATAGCATTAAGGAGCTTGTGTCGCAGAAAGTGACGCTTCAGCGTCGGTGGCGTCATGACGGTAAAATCCTCATTGGTCAATAGGGTCATGAAGTCACCGCCACATGACCTCGCGCGGAGAATGAAAGTGATTAACAAACATCACATGTAATGCGAATTAAAGGTTGCAGCATGTCCCAAATGATTTCACTTTATAAAGTAATTAATTTGCTTTTAAAGAAAAATTTGAAGAATTTTAGGCAAATTGGAACCCACGACTTCGCTTGTGAGCCAGACACGCTACTGACTAGGCGATGTCCTCCGCACTTCCTGCTCACTGGCAGGGAGAGCATGAGAAGCTAATGAGACGACAATGCGAACGGGGCCTGATAACACTATCGCGTCCCACTCTTAAAGGTAAAGCTTAAAGGGGCACTGACAAATCAAAATCTTTTTTTTTTTTTATTATCTGAAACGTTTAAGAAAGATGTACGTACTGTATTTACACAAATGTACGTCGACCCTTTTTTAAAATTTTTGAAAATTTGAAGTGGGGGGGGGTTGACTTATAATCGAACCAAAGCATACCACCGCTGGGAAAAAATGGAACGATCGTGATATCATGAACACCTCGGATTGTTACGAGTTCAGCCGGCAGTAACTCTAGCATTGCACTATTCTGTCCGCTCATTTTACAAATTAATAATTTTTTTATTTGTGCGAATGAATATTATTGATAGCGATTCGCAAATTAACCCGAATGTACGGCGATGAACAGCGCACGGCGCGCCCGACTACTGGGGGGTGGCGGCACTTCTTGTAAGAGCCACTCCGGAGGGGCCGCTAGAACAGCCTCACGGCTCACACACCCCGCGGCTTCTCTTCGCAGTTGTTTGCACGATTCATGGTCGCACGTCGTTTGATCGAGTGACGAGATCGTGCTGGAGCGATAACTATGTTTTTCTGTATTGACACGCGTGATCCAGACAGTTTGGGTCTTTGGTGCTCGTTCATGGCCATTCTTGACCCAGAAGCAACCAACAACTGCACTGTTGGACACAAGTTCAACCCGTCGGAGCAGGCGATGCTCCAGTGGAGTCTGCAATGGCGCGGGATCTTAAACTTTGACGGCAAACGAAGAGGCTTCCGTAGGCCAAAGTCTGGATAGGAGGGGATGCCTTCCGGAGTTGGAGGTCAGGCTTGCAACGTACGCTGCAAAAGTGTTCAATCAGTCCCTACAGGTGACGTGCAATGCGATCGCCGAGCAGGCGCGGAATATGCGCTTGATGCTGTCATTTGCGATGTGTGAGATTTCGTTGGACGACGCCGACGACGTGCTTCGGGAACATAGCAGTGATGACGACGGGACTGACGTCACCAGCGCGGACAAGTCGTAGTCTAGTCGCGGACAGAGTAAGAACAACAGTGAGAAGCTTCAGTTGGCCCGCCTCCAGCGTGAACTTCCTAGTTCCGATAACGCCTGGTCATCTCATGCACTTCGCATGTGCATGCACAGCCAGAGCATGCCAAAAGGCATCGATCGCGTGTTGGAGGCTCGGCTCTGGAAAGATACTTTGCCGTTCTCGCGTGTTTGCAGTAAAATGTGCACCTATAGATTTTTTTTTTTTACAGCGGAGCTGTTAAGGGCTAGGTTCCCCAGGATCGTGCCCGATACCTGTCGACACAAACCTACCTGGGTAACTACCGCCACCTACAAGCGACGGCAGCAAGCACACAACCAGTCTGGTTGCCGCCGTCGCTCGTAGATGGTGCCGACCTTTCCAGCTATCCATATATGGCTCTGCAGCTATCATAGAAGAACGGATAGTTGGGCGCGTTGGTGGGAATTCATTGTAGGAAACAGCACGAAAAATAGACGACAACAAAGAAGAAGTACACGTAACGAGCGCAGCGCTCGTCCCATGTGTTACTTCGTCCTCGTCTGTTTTGCGCACTGTTTCCTACGCTCTTATCAGTTTCGGTTTGGACTTACGATGGGTCGGCCGCGCGCCTTTTCGGAGAAAGAAGACTGGCTGCGGAAGGAGCAGCGACGTATGCAGCAGTGCGAATGGGTCCGCAACCGCCGCAAAGCCGCTGTCGCCTCCACTTCCACTGCGTCGAGCGCTTCAGATTTTCTTGGCAAAGAAGAGCACATCACTCACCTGGAAAGCCTCCGCCGAGAACAGGACCAGCAATGTAAGGGGCGCCGTCCGTGGCCAACGCCACAGACGACGATCGTGCCACCGACGCCAAGCGCAAGCGCGAGGTCCGGCGACTGCATTTCACGCCGGCTGAACAGTTCACGGGCGTGACGGCGAGGTTCCGGACGGAGTTCGTGGATTACCCGTTTGGTGTCACGTGCGCCGTGTGCGACCGACTCTGGTTCGCTGAGACGTATCCACGATCGGCGGTGTGTCGGACGAGAAGAAGCGGGAAATGGGCGCGTGCGCGTTGCGGCAGTGTATCGAGTACAGCTCCGCTGGTCTTCCTTCTTCACGAGAGTGAAAAGGCTGAACTTTTTTTTCTTTTTGCTGATGTGCAATGTGGGGGGGGGGGGGTCGACTTACAATTGAGTCAACTTACAATCGTGTAAATACGGTACATTACCCTAAAAACTCGAAACTTGGGAGCTCAGTATTTGTAAAGTAAAAACAACCGCATCTCCACGTGCTGAATGATGTTGATTGGGGCGCAGCTCTGGTGTTGCTTGTCTGCGTAGACGCCGAGCTGCAGCATGCCGAGCCTTTCGTTCGTTTTCATCCATGTCACGCTGCGGTCAAATGCTCAAATGCGTATATAACCACGTTCCATACCACCCACACATTCTCTTTCTCACATGGATGAAAACGAACGAAAGGCTCGGCATGCTGCGGCTCACCGATTACGCAGACAAGCACCACCAGGGCTTCGCCCCAACCAATATCATTCACCACATGGAGATGTGGTTTTTTTTTTTTTTTTTTCCCTACACGAGCACGAGAACATATGCTCATGTGCTCGTGGGCACGAGCACCCGACGCCAGACATCGGACGGACATACGGACATGGCTAGCCCCTAAGGAGCTTCGCCCCTAAAAACGTTCAGCCTTTCCACTTTCCTGCAGAAGGAAGACCAGCGGAGCTGTACTCAATACGGTGCTGCAACGCGCACGCGCCCGATTCCTGCTTTTTCTTGACCGACACGCCGCCAATCGTGGATACGTCTTCGGCGAACCAGAGTCGGTTGCACACAATGCACGTGATGCCAAACGAGTTCTCCACGAACTCCCTCCGGAACCTCGCCTTCACACACGGGAACTGTTCAGCCGGCGTGGAGTGCAGTCGTCGCCGGGCCTCGCGCTTGCGCTTCGTCTTCGTGGCACCATCGTCATCCGTGGCGTTGGCCCGCCGGCGCCCTTTACATCGCTGGTTCTGTTCTCGGCGGCGGCTTTCCAGGCGAGCAATGTGCTCTTTGACAAGAGAATCTGAAGCGCTGGATGCAGTGGAAGTCGAGGTGACAGCGGCTTTGCAGCGGTTGCGGACCCATTCGCGCTGCTGCGTACGTCGCCGCTCCTTCCGCAGCCTGTCTTATTTCCCTGAAAGGGGGCGCAGCCGACCCATCGTGAGTCCAAACCGAAACTGATAAGAGCGTACGAGCATAGGAAACGGCGCGCAAAACAGACGAGGAAGAAGAAAGAAACGTGACGAGCGCTGCGCTTGTTACGTGTGTTTCTTCTTCGTCGTCGTCTGTTTTTCACGCTGCTTCCTACAATGAATTCCCACCAACGCGCCCATCTATCAATTCTTCTATGATAGCTGGAAAGCTTGCCGCTATTTACGAGCGACAGCGGAAACCATACTGGGTGTGTGCTTGCTGCCGTCGATTATAGATGGTGGTAACTGTCCAGGTAGGTTTGTGTCGACATACCGCACACGATCCTGGGGAACCTAGCCCTTAACAGCACCCCCGTAAAAAAGTGACGTCAAAGATTGAATCGTCCTGCCACTCAAGTTTCTCTCACGCCTCCGAACCGTTCTGACCCAAAGTCAGTGTTGTGTTCACCCGCATCCCGCGAACAACCGATCTTCTCCCTGCATGCCCCTATCGCTGTGAGTAGACGACGCTTCACTTTTGAGTTCGAAGTTCTTTTAGGGCCCTTTCAGCAATTTGAAATTCTTTGAAACGGTGCGAGGTCGAAGAAAACATGCAATGGACTTTTGTGAGTGACATGAGGGGCCACGTCACACCGGCTGGCTGTTGCACAACTCAAACTACGCTACACAGACACCAAACCGAGTTGTTTTGATCGTTTGACGATTTCCTTTTCGAAGTCTGAAAGGTCGTCAAGCACCTAAAAAAGATCACTTCATCCAATTCGCCGACTCACCGATCATCCTAAGTGCTACATATCTCGAGCGCCGCCATGTTTTCCGACGGAGGATAAAAAGCCAGGAGGCGACATCACTCCGAACTATGATTTTCGGTATTTCAAAAAGAAGGGCTGTAGTACATTTGCAATTGCGTTAAAAAACATGTTCTGCATATGCCGTTATAAAGTCGATTACGTCACAAATAAAAAGAAGCGAAAAGGTGAGAAGAGAGAGAGAAAAACAACAAAAATAAAATGGTGCTTGCATGCACGAGAAAATGTTTTTGCATTGCGGTATTTTTTTGCGTGTCTGTGCACCACAAATTGCATTGTCTTAGACAACAAAAAATATCACCTTTGGGGTGTCAGTGCCCCTTTAAGCATCCTCGAAGTATTTTTGCTGTAACTTCCGCGACGGACTGCGGCATCGAACAACACGACACACGCCAGCTCCAGCATCGTCGTTTGCTGCCACACTGGGACTGCTTTCGAAGCACGGGTGGTATGGAAAGCTATACACACAGGCTGAAAACGTGTTGCAGGCACCATGCTCGTGCTAGCTTCCGGTGGTTGACGTAGAAAATCCAGCACTGCAGCCTCGTCATCTAGGAAACGTTGAACTGGCGCAACGAGCCCCACTCACCAGATCGATGATGCAATCCTTCCCGTAACGGCTCCGCCAGTCAGCCGCGACGTTCGACACGTGGACGACGGCCTCCGGGTCGTCGGCGTTGACGTGGAAGATGGGGGCATTCACCACCCTCGCCACGTCGGTGCAATAGGGAGACGACCTCGCCACCCTGGGATCTGTGGTGAAGCCAACCTGCCAGAGAACCGAGCGCGAAACGACTTTGAATTTCACTGCCATCCAACGAAAATGGCGGCAACATCCTTCGGGCACCCCGCAACTCCAGAAGCCGTGGAAACACGTCATTGCTGCAGATGACTACAAAGGCCTATATACTTTTCTCAGAGTTTAAAATTCTTGCTGCAATGGTTCCGCTTCAATATGCCTTTTTCTTAATGAACTCTTCCCTGACCACGAGAAAAGTAGCAATTTTCAAAGGATCTGTGCAAACTCTTATTTTCATAATTTGAGTGTGGAGCAATATGACACATAAAAATGTGGCCAGTTAGTTGTTTTTACAAAAAAAACAGAGGTTAATATAACGTCCGAAAAATATTTCAAAATCTTTTTCTGACATTTTTTTGGAGGCGTATGAACACCGAAACTCCTACAGCTATGTCAAATAAAACGACAAATAAAAGAAAAAGTCTGAACATACAAAATGTGCCCCACACCCACCGCTATCACTTCTGAAAGTTTGTGTACTCTAACTGACGTGGTCTATTTTTGGCTCATCAGAGAGTTAGCCTCCGTAACACGTGTGCTTTTCAACGAAAGAATGCTTCCATCCGTGAAACAAAGATAGTACACCTCACATCCCCAGCAGAATGCTTCCTTTGTGTTCTACTTTGTTTTGTCACAACCTTGAATGCAGTTCCTTCATATTTAGCATTCCTGTCAGCCTTGTTAAGAACATGTGCATGCCGGCTTAGGACAGCATTGGAGATTATAGCGATGCTTAGTGACAACCATTAAGCGACACCTGTGACACCATTTAAAGTGGCTCCAGAGCTCTTGAGGCCTACAAAATATGCCACAATGCAGTTGAAATATGTAAATAATGCCATCTCTGTTCAAAGACTGATGCAAGCAATTATCCATGTCAGAAACGTGCAACCGCCATACCTAGGACTATTTTTGACAGCCCACCAGCTTTTGAAAAGCTCAAACCTAGGTTGAAACCAAAACTACAGTTCTTTGGCTATCCACAATATAATTCTCCGCACTGAATTTAATTTTTTGACAATGCTTGGAAATCAATCACCGGTGATCGACAGCCTGAGGGCGCAGTCAGGAGAGGGTTATGAAGACACACCCCCTAGGAGGGTCAACTTTTGAACCCTTGGCTTAAAATGCTAGAGGGTGCATAACAAAATTTAAGGTCTGTCGGTTAAATGGGAAGAAAATTAAAGCAACTTCTATCAGCAACACGCCTACATTGTTTAGTTAATCTATCATCGGAAAACTATCACAATATTCAAGACTTTTATTTGCTAGGTATGTAGCAGAATGCCTAGAGGGTGCAGCCATGGAAAGGTTTTTGCAAAGTCTTTCATTTCTATAAAATATCTCTTCTGCGAAATTCGTAAACTTTTTGGTCTTCTGTGTCTTCGACAAATTGTCAATATTTCTTATAAAAGGCATTCGCACTGATGTGATTGGCCTAAGCCATTTTGGTGCACCTTTCGGAGCAGCCAAAACAGTGTTTTGGAGCAGCAAAAGTGGCTTTTGGAGCAGCCAAGACAGTGTTTTGGAAAAGATATTCTTAGAAAAATAAAAATATTTGTTTTAAGTGCTGTATAAATGAAGGGCGCTTTGGGTTGTGTTCTGATGCGACGTGTAGTGACTGAACTAGCTGCTTGTGTTTTTACTGCTGAGACATCCCACAAATGTACAGTGCTGTAGACGTTGCCGAGCAATTCTGAAAAACCACTTGCTACCGTTTTACTGGTTCCCGACGTGCTAAATTTTAGTCAAAAGTAAGCAAACGTAAAACTATGAATTGCAAGCGAACCGGCTGATGCCTCTGTCGTGCAATCATGTTCACACACACGTGAGGGCAACTTCGGCAGGCTTGCGGTTGCGCGTGCTTCGTCGCACGAGCGGAGGCAACGCTGTTCGATCGAAACCGAAACCATGCCACTCTGCTCCGTCGCTAACTGATTCCCAAAATTGTACGCAAGATGTAACTATCGAGCAGTAGCCAAAAATAGTCCAGCGGTGCATACTTGCCAGGCTGGCAAATAAAATACAAGCTAAACACACAAAAAAAAAAAAAAAAAAAAAAGAACCTGAGCGCATCGATGCAAGACATCACGAGCCAGGGTCAAAAAGTTCTTGGAGCACTTTGTGCAACGACTGAACTCGACACAAAGCGCACTGTGCGGGTTCAGCGTGCAGACATTGCCTTCTTTCCTTTAGCTAACCTCTCTTCACCAACTTTCTTTCGTGGCAGATTTTTCACAAACCGGGGTCCCTCTCGAAAGAAAGCCCACCGAGAGAAACCTAGGTAATCAATACTTCGTTCGACACAGCAGTCTTTGAGTTAAAAAGGGATTTTTGTAGTAACGTATGATTTAAACAAGAACAGGAATGTTGATGAACATGACTTGAAAATGAAACTTAGTTTCATTTTAGAAAGCACCATATCTGCAGCGACATGGGGACGGCAACACCTTATGTCGCGCGACCACGGTGACTGAAAGGCAGGGACCAAATATAGTTTTCCCACGACCGTTGCCTTCAGGAGCAAGTGCTTCAGCTCACAAAGTAACTCCCGCCGCGCAAAATTGTGGTTTCGTTTCACGGCATGACTGCATGGCTGGTACCCGGCACGCTAGCGTCGAAGCGTCCGCAAACACCCGCGTCTATCGGGCTGCTTGTGCCACATAACACACGCACGCTCAATTATGGTACTCAGTTTAGTTTTGGTTTTAAAAGGCGATCGAAATTGGTTTTTTGGCACAGGCTTGGCGCAGATTACCCATATTTTGGCAAAATGTAGCAGGATGTAGCAGGGTTAGCCCCTTGGCGCAATTGGCGCCGCAATCGTATCACTGCATTCGTAAATTGACAAAAAAGTTCCATAGCTGCCTTTTTTATTAAATATAAGTCAGGAAAAGCGAAGAACGAACCTTCCTTGTATTGCCATTTCCATAGCTGCCTTCTTTATTAAATTTAAGTCAGGAAAAGCGAAGAACGAGCCTTCCTTGTATTGCCATTATCAACTAATGACTGACTAAAATGAAATTTATACCAAAAAGTGGAACAGAAAAAAATGCATTCAAAATGCTCCAAACCCTACCTTCAGAGGACAGAAAATAATTTATAAAAAATTAACTATGCAGTGTAACCTAATTAAACTTACTGGGAATACCTTTTAGATGTTGGTGGATGCAAGTATGTAATTTTTCAAAATCAACTTTTTTTGCAGAATTTTCTTTTTTTCTGTGTAGTGTCCCCCTTTAAGATATACATACATCTTACCCGCTGACCAAACTCGTCAGGTAGGAATACCCTAAGCAGGCACTTCCGCTGTGCCAAAGCAATAGAGCTAAGAGCTGCCAATGCCAGTTGTGCAGCACTGCATTTAAGACCTACCTCACAAAGGTATATGTATTGGCTAAGCAATTTCTTAGTTTTAATTTCCAAAATCTATGCCTCTCAAATGTGCCTTAATTTTTTTTTCCTTAATAAAAAGAAAAAAAAATACATTCACATAAAATATGTATATATATATTTTTTTATTTCTTCAGACATTTTGCATCTGCTAAATAATTGAGAAGCAGCTTGTTTTCAGCTGCACTGCTCTTGGGATATTCCGAAATGAGGCTTCAGATAAACGAGAAAGAAAGGCCAAAAGGGAGGGTCACCTGGTTGTTGACCACAATGTGGATGGTCCCATGGGTTGAATAGTCAGGCAGGTCACTCAAGTGGAAGGTCTCGTAGACCACGCCCTGGCCAGCGAAGGCGGCATCACCGTGCAGGAGAATGCTCATCACCTAAAAAAAAGCACAACAAGCTGCCTCAAGGAATAACCAATGGAAGAGCAACATAATCCTAAGAGCCCGTTTGTACTCCAACATAACGCACACGCACGGCTTGGCGACGTCATGGTGGAAACCAGACCCTCCACAGCCGCATTCTAGCGTAACCTACCCAATCCCCAGCGTTCGGCATGCTCTGACCAGATTGACAGAGATAGTTGCATTGACGCATATGCAGAGAAAGAACATGTTGCATGACGCAAAGATAGAACATGTCACACTGATGCAGGGAGAGCATGTTGTGACACTGACACAGAGGTAGAATGTGTTCTGCAAATGTAAATGCATTTGTTTCATTGCTTCCAAACTCCTTTTAGGGGCGAAGCTCCTTAGGGCCTAGCCTTGTCCGTCCAGCGTCCGTGCTTACATCAATTGCCATCCCATCTGTCTTCTTAAAAAAAAAAAAAAAAAATGTTTGCACAGTTGATAGGATTCGAACCTGTCAGGGCAGACCCCAATGGATTTCTAGTCCATCGCCTTAACCACTCGGCCACGACTGCGGGACGAGTAGGGGGCTTTGAGATGTGGTAGTAACTCAAGAGCTGGGGATGTCAAGGATGAAACGTTGCATGTAGCCGCTCAACGTCTATACAGAAGAGGGCGTTACGGTCAAATGCATATATAATCGCGTTAAACTTTGCATGCATTGGCTCAACGTTTATAGACAAGAGGGCGCTGCAGTCAAATGCTCAAATGCGTATAAAACCCCGTTTTATTCCACACATTCCATACCAATGCAACCCGGAACTCAGCACTACCTGTGAGCAATAAAAAACAAATCAGCAGCATAAGCACTACCTATGAACAAAATCAGTATCATCAGCAGCACCAGAGCTTCGCCCCAATCAACATCATTCACCACGCAGGTGCAGTCACAGGCACCCTTCTTATGAAAAAATGTTTCACCAAAAAAGAAAGCACATCCCTGTGTCCTCCTCCAACGCATGCAACATCTCGCACAATCGTTCCACCAAAGCACACATCTCCTACAGCGATTCCACTGAAAGCAAAGAACCCATTGCAAATATTGTACAGTGTGAATCTCTTTCAACATGCCCTTCCACAACGCAGGAGCTACCGCTGTCAATCGTAGCACACTTTGTGAGGTCGTTTGCAATTTTTTAACATATCAATCTTTTATTTACGAGGAAACTGTCAATATGGTCTCCTTTAACATTTATATTAGAAAGGAGCAAGGACTAATTAATTTAGACAAGCACAAAAGACAATCACAATCACAATCTCGCAAAGAAAAAACAGGTGAAAATATGTCTGAAAGGGGCACTGACACATCAATCACATTTTTTTTTTATTATCCAAAACGATTGAAAACGATGCCAGGACATTACACAGAGAATTCGAAACTTGGGAATTCAGTATTTGTGAAGTAAAAAACAATTTCTAAATGTCGAATTCGAAGTTCCCGCGCGATTTGCACCGGTGCATTGACGTAAAATATTGCGGAGTCTTGAAAGTCGACTTTCTTTCACGACTCCGTGCTGTTGCTACCGCGACCCAAAGCGAGGAGGAAAGGAGCTGGACATGAGGGCACTGGCAGACCGAAAAAAAAGAAATGGCTTTATTCCCTGCGAGCGGTGCCGGCCGCCTGCCCAGGCGGCATGTTTTTCGAGGGAGGATACAATTCCAGGAGGTGACATCACACCGGACTCCGATTTTTGGTATTTCAAAAAGAAGGGCCGTAGTGCATTTGCAATTGCATTAAAAAACATGTATTACGATTGCTGTTATTAAATGTTATAATAAAGTCACCTACAAAGCTTCTAAATTTCATGATTTTTGACGTCACGAATCAAAAGAAGCAAGAAGGCGAAGAGCGGGAGAGAAAAGCGCCAAACGTTTGCCCACGCGCGCACCTAAGAAAACATTCTTTTGCGATGCATTTTGTTTTTCGTGTCTATGACTACAACTTGCATCGTTTTAGACAATAAAAAAAAAATACGACCCTTGGGGTGTCATCCCTTGAGGGCCTTTGCAAAACTGCAGAGCTGTGGGTTGGCACAAAGTACAAATGTTTAGTGATGAAGGGTTTTGAAGCATAGTGGGCTTTATGATTACAGCAAATGAACGAGACAAAGGTGGCACTAATGAGCAACTGAAACGAAGTGTCAGATCCTGCGCCGCTATAATAATCACATTGTTCTGTTGTTTTACACCCGAGTTTGCGCTTCTTGTCTCAAGTCTCGACACCACGGCAGGAAACGATGCGCTGACTTTGATGCATCTGATAAGCTTGTGTTGTCAGCTAGACAGTCAATACTGAGAACTTCAGAGATATCCTGGTCTTTGATGAGAGGCACGTTTTAGCCATTGTAGGAAGCAACCACCATGTCTCACACCTTGAGAGAGGTCACAGGCCATTGCTGTTTCAAGGACTGTTTGTTTGGGCACTTAACTCAGCAAACTGAGATGACTGAGCTCAGAAAACCTTTTCTGTACAAATTTCATTGAAGAAACAGGCAACCTTGACATGGTTTATTACAAAATAAAGGTTTCTCAAGGAGCAAACATTTTCCCATTGCATTATTTCCTCATTTGTTAAATTTTGGGGCAATTCTCACATTTTTGTCAGTCCCGTGAAGCCCGAACTAATTAGGTTTTTGCTGTATAAACTTCTGATTAATACTACCCAGTAACACACCAAAGCACTGCACCGTTGTAGTATATGCAAGTGAAAAAAATTTGGCAGAAACACTTAAAGGAGGAACGATTTTAAGATTAAAGGAATTTGCATCTCGTATTGATTTTTTTCTATACAGAGAAAACATCTTCATTAAAAAATGTTGCGATTCCGCTGCATAATTGCAAAGCAAAAGTCTAGCTTTTTCCCCCACCTGCAGCCACCAGTGGCAGCCGAAGGAACTACGGCGAGAAGCTTACGTTACCTCGCTCGGCTCTAAGCTGCAGCAGAACGCCTGCTAATGTCAGCAGAGAGAGGGAGAGGAAGCGTCCTCTGAGAGAGCACTCGGGAACCTACACGGAACCCTGAATTAGATCACTAGATGTGCGACCAGGTGTGACTCTGAAGACTGGGAGTGAGTCGAGGGGTGCCAGAAATACTAATATTTATCTTTTTGTTTTACACAACAACTAGGACACGCAAATGAAATTGGTTTTCTGTTCTTTACTTCAAAAGTGTCAGAGGATGACTTTCACAAATTTTTGACCGAAGTCCGGAAATTGGTGCACCCCCCCCCACCCCCCCCGCCCCCTTTTAGGCCTGCCTACGTGTGGGAAGGCGAAAGCATTCCCTTCGGTGAAATGTTTTCGATCAATGTTTTCGACAGTCAGCCAGATGGCTGCGACATCACGTATGCAATGACGCATGCACTAGGCACATCTTTAGACAGCCAGAACCGTAGAGCCGCCGTGGCGTCAGGGAAGTGTGCTCGTCTCGCACACCGGAGGCCTGGGTTTGATACCCACCCAAACTGAAATGTACAAATTTTCTTTTCAAAGCCATTAATTTACTTTGTTTACAGGAACCTCCCTAAGAACTTTGACGTCAATCCCAGCATTTTTTACATATTTTTCCTCTTGGCGCCGTCGGCCATTTTTGGTACTCTCGCTCGGTCACGCCGCCGCCGGGTTTTCGCATAATGGGGCCCCGCCCCCATATAATGCTTTCACACTAAAAAGCAAACCGTAGGATACCACCCAGCGATATCAGCTACATTCGGGTGAAGTAAAAATACATGTGAAACTGCACAGTCTCAGGATTTTTAGATCGTCCAAAACTAAATTCTACAAGAGATGTGATTTTAGACGAACAGATGATAACGGCAAGGCCTATTGCTGATATTGCCGCGCGTGCAGCTAGCCATGTAGGCAGCGCGCCCGTGGTCAAATAGTTATCGTGCTTGGCTCCCACGCAAAGCGCCAATGTTCGATGCCTGGAAACAGATGCACCTTTTTGTTATTTCTCTAAATGTCACGTTCTGGTATACCATATTTACTCGCACAATGAACGCACTCGCGTAATGAACGCACCCCCCAAGTCGGCTTTCAAAATTTTGACTTTTTTTGTTCACTCGCGTAATAAACGCAACCCCAACTGGGACCTCAAAATTTTGACCCCCTCCCCCACACGCGCGAAATGAACGGCACTCTTCTATCCTGGTGCAGCGAGGTCATGGAGATCGCGAACGCATGGGCAGCCAGGGCGAACACAACGCCTTGCAAAAGGCGTTAAAAAAATTCGCAAAGATCCAACGGAAGCAAGAAAAAAAAAAACATAAAAAAGAGATTTTTTTTTTTTTTTTTTTTTTTTGCACAGCGCAGTTTGGACTTTGGGTTCGCGCGCCGCCGCGAGAAGCGGAGAGGCGCTCTAAGCGAACGAAACAGCTTGAGGAAGGCGGTAAAACGAAAAAAAAGAAAAAAAAAAAAGAAAGAAGCGGAACTAAGAGAAAACAAAAACCAAAAAAAAAAACTTTTTTTTTTTTTTTTTGCACAGCGCAGTTTGGTTAGGGAGGTCGTGCGTCGCGCGCAAGGAAATAAGAAAGATAAGCGGAGAGCCCTTGCCTAAGCAAACGAAACAGCTTGCGAAAGGCGGCAAAAAAAAAAAAAAACTAAGGGACCAAGAGAAAAACAAAACAAAAAAAAGTTTTTTTTTTTTTTTTTTTTTTGAGCAGCTTAGTTTGGTTACGGGGTCCCGCGCGCAAAGAGATAAGAAGTTACTTCGATTTTTCAGGATAAAAGGTCCGTTCTGTATGCCAGTAAATACGGACGCAAAAATTTTACTTCGCGTAATGAAGGTAACTTTTTTTTCCGAAAAATTTCGAAAAAAAGAGTGCGTTCATTCTGCGAGTAAATACGGTATTTGAGAATTCTATTGTTTATTCGAGGTTCAAATGTTCTGCGCGCAGAATCTTCTACACCGATTGTTCCAGAAGCCCACGCATGTACATAAGGAGCTCCACGTGGTGAACCGAAGTCAGTCTCACCCCAGCGCTCGATCCTGCTGTTTCGCCGACATCGACGCCTGTGACGTTAACCTTCTATATTGTTTTGGGCACAAGTTTGCTGCACTGGGTGTTTAGTTTCTCCAGTTATTCACCACCCCATCATCTGTCATTCCTGACAATATTTTAGACCAGTTTGAATGTATTCGTCCACATTGGGGCCAATAGGCCACCAAACGCGGAGACGGAATGGCCCACCTTCTTGCCTTGCGTGTCTCCACGGTAAAACTGCTCCGCACGCGTCTTCCCCTGTACCACAGGATCCACACCTGAACCCAACACAAGACGTCAACACATGCTTTCTACGAAAAAGCCAGAGGCAAAAATCTATGGGCAATGGGAAAGTCACTCACCCTCGAGATGAGAGGGGTTGGCACAGACTGCTAGCTTGATGTTTCGGTTCGACACGCGGTTCAGACGTTCGTGGCTCATGCCCAGGTGGTACTTGACGTCTCCAGAACCCTGCAGCAGAAGAAAGGGGCATCTTTGGGCTGCAATGGGATCAAACTTATTTATGCAAGTACTAAACAAAGTTGCACGGTTACCTCGGTCATAATGTACATCGCTCACAAGCCGAACCATGTTGATGGGACATTTGAATGTCTGTAGAAGGTAGCAACAGCGTGCATTCTATCTGGGATACCCTGGTCCTGCATATTTATCAAACTGTGGTAACCCTATCGGATCAACTGGTTGTGACTATGCAATTGTTAACTGGCATAGTTCACAAATAACTAGCTTACAAAAATATTTAGGGTTGCAATTGTTTTTTTTTTGCTTGTTTTATGAATTTATACTACCCTTGTCCAACGCTCGTAAGGAGCTCAGTGAAAAATAAACATGACTATGATGACGAACCCAGCACATAACGTTTGAAAGTTAGCCCTCAAATTACATGCTTTCTAGAAAGCAAGACTTCCAAGTTAGCGTTTTTGACCATTATGAGACCCTCAAGAATACCGAGCAATTTATATGTTTATAGAATCATAAATTAGTTTCTTGTTTTTTTTTGTTTATATTTTTTATTAACTTTAATTAACCAAAAAACAGCTTTACAGTAGGTCATTTATTCCCCGAAATAACCGTAAACCATATATTTATGCATCATAATCTAAACCTTGAGAACACAAAGAAAAAAAGTAATGGACAAGACATTATATTATTTCTCTGTCTCTCTATGTTTACATTACGATGCTTCCTAACCAGCTTGCCTGCATACTTTCGCTACTTGCAAGTTTATACAATTGGTTTGTGAGATCATTTTTCCACTTCTAACACTGCATTTCATTCTTCTTTCTTTCCATGCCCTATCCGCGGGGGAATTCTTTACCAGCTGACATGGTCGAGAGTATTTCTCTATCAGTTTTTATTGTGAATTGAATAGACAACCTTGTTCTGAACTATGCTGTGTATTTTCTTCATTGTTCCTTCTCGTTGAGCGACACATTGTCACATGGTCGAGTGGGTGTCATTGTCATGGTTTTTATCACAAACCAAATAGATGATTTAGTCAGAACCTTGTTGCGTGTTTGCCTTGTTGTTCTTTCCAGTCTTGTGACTCCAATCGTGATTTATTTGTTTTGATAATGACTGCTCTTTTTTCCTCTATTCGTCTTTTGCACGCTTGTGTTTCTTTGGGAGGAATTGGCACGTCTTTCGAGCTGCAGCACTGTATTTCACATGTATATTGTACCACTCCTGCTAAAGCCTTGAAGAGGGCGAGCAGTATAAATAAATAAATAAATAAGATAGCCTATACCTACAATACACTGAGTACTTGACAAAACACAATTAAAGGAAAAGAATAAAACTGAAGTTTCTCTATCTACGTACTTGTTCCACCTCTTGCACAACTAAAGGCAATATTGCAAGTGTGAACTTCAGTTTTTCTTTAAATTCTCTCTCTTTACATGAGCAGACATGCTACAGGACATCATTCCAAAGCCATCACACGGATGGCACGCATCCAGTACAGCATGTGTGCACCCATACAATGGAATCTATTTGACACAATCCCACATTTTGTTTTCTTAATTCCTGGTTACAATACCATACGAATGATGCATTTTGATGACTTACACCAGTGGTTCTCAAATGGGGGTCCGCGGGCCCCAAGGGATTCGCGACGGCGTCCTTGGGGTTTGCGAAGCCCTGCCTCATTAGCCAAGCCCGGCAATAAAAGTTGACTTTTTTCAGATTGAGAAGAAACGTTCCAATCTTCGGGTGAGTTTTCTCGTGTGTATGTCAATGAGAGAAGTCTACTTCAGCTAGCCCTCAGTAATATCCATTTAATAAATTGTTATCATAATTACATACCTGCCAACTTGTGGACTTTCAAATTCGTAAAGCTCCCGCGGCGGCAGCGGCGGCGGGGGGGGGGGGGGGGGGGGGGGGGGTTACGCGAAGCTATGTGCAGCTTAATGTCAGCCTGGCCAGCGTGCACGGTGTACCAGCATGCGAAACGCTGACATCACACATGCACGTGCTACAGAATCCAAACTTCGCTCGCTTTTTGGGCGGCACGAAGCACAGAAATTTTGATGTATAGGGCTTCAGGAACATCTGAAAGTACCTCTTTTGAGGTTTCGAGTTCAGCATTGCGCCGCGAAGCCACAGTCACCAGGAGAATGCTACAGTTACACGTGCAACAAACACAGACAACATACTTCTCGCCTCGCAACTGGCCGAAGCAACGAGGCCCAACAACGTCTGAACAAGCCGAACCAACGTGCACCCGTGCACCGCCGAACACACGAACAAAGGCTTTGAGCTTTGGATTGGTTTTCGATCCGTGGCCACCAGATAGACGGATAGTAAAAACCACGACGCTGCTGTGGACGGTACCCATCGTCCTCTTGTGGCGGTGCAAGATACCGCCAACAACGGAGTTACAAAAACAAAAAAACAAAAAATAAAAATAAAAAAATTAAAAATATATTTTCGTAAGATTTGAAGCAAGATTCGTAAAATCGTAAAATTAGTCCCGATTCGTACATTTTACGAAAAATTCGGAAGAGTTGACAGGTATGTGATTAATGTATACCTTTCCCTTCCCCTCACCACGAACATGGTCCTCCATCATCTCCGCCAATCCACAAGGGGTCCGCGAAATATCCTCGGTTGAGAACCACCGACTTACACAATCATATTTTTGCTTGAAATTGGATATTAAAACAGCAGAAGTGGGTTTTGACGGATATTTTAGAAGGGGAAATCAGTAAGACTAGAGAGTTACGACTAGCCAGACCTCTAGCTAACATTCAATAATTTAAAAAAATGGGCTGACCCAAAGGCAGTGCAATACCAATGAAATTGGCGGTATAGCACTGCGCCCAGGGTCGAAGCATGTTTTTCACCGAGTATGCATGCATAATTTAGAACCTTTTGAAGTTCGCTTTGGATAATATAGTTTTTGGATATGCATTTTATTTTTCGCTTCTCGTACAAACTGCATCAAAAAGATGCCACTGTAACGTGAGCAAGTCCGCCTGGTAGGCTCACCTCGTCTGCTGGTTCCAGTCCACTGAACTGCGTAAAGATCTGCTCCAGCGGTTTTCGACAGACGTTGGCAAGTACGTTCAGACGGCCCCTGCACATCACCGGGCAGAGAAGAGGTCTTTACATTTCACTTATGCGCAATGCCACACAGTGCGTAATAAGAATTATTGTGAAGAAGTGGCTGATGCAACATTCTTTCGTGATGCTTGGAAATACTCGATACATGTCACCATCTGAGTTGTACATATAACCAAAGAAAAGGATTTAGCTTAAAGTTAACAAACACCGTGAAAAAGAAAGTAGCTCACTAGGTAGCAACAGACAACTTCGAAGTGTGATAAAAAATATTTCAAACTGCAAAAAGAAAAGCATTTATAAAAAAAAGGAGTTTCCTATGGGTCAGCCTTCAAACAAATAAGCTTAACGAAAAATTTTCCATATTTGTTGAAATTTCTTTTTAATGGCTGTCACCCTGCGTTCTATTATACCAAACGAGAGCCCACCCCATTGTTCTGCCCGACTTGTGTTGAAAGTTGCATGGGCGATTCTTTATTAATCAATGAAAAATGAAGAGTTTTAAAAAAATACCTTTGCACGTATCCAGAATAAGTACCCTCCTAAAGCGACACCTACGACACTACCACGGGGGGTGCTACTTGGCCCCAGTGCAGTGTGGTGAAGAAACAGTAGCTTTAAGAGGTCTTTTCAGCTAAATGCACATCTAGCCAGAGTACTCAGAAGGAAGTCACATTCTTCAGTCTTTCTTTTATCTGACAGCCCACAGGACATACCTGTGTGGCATTCCCATGACAATGCTCTCAATTCCGAGCTCGCTTGACCGATCAATGATCGTCTTCATGGCAGGGATGAGGACTTCGCAGCCCTCCAGTCCAAACCGCTTCTCGGACACCCATTTCTTCGCAAGGAACTCTTCAAATCTGCAAAAAAAAGCAACCAAGAGAACGAAATAGAACCTTGTAAATACAGCTTCAGTCGACATGCTTTCCCAGTTAGTAATTAATTAGTCTTATAGGCATTCAACATTTCATCAAGCATCCACCACCGCCGAATATTCACGAAGTACCGAGTAGGTGATGTTCAAATCGAATACAAATCAAATATTAAAAATATTAAATTTGTATTTGAAATTGAGAATATTTACACACCCTTACCAATTTGGCAATCAGCCCTGGGTTGTATAAACAAATAAAATATAAAAAATATTAAATTTGTATGTAAAATTTAGAATATTCGTGCCCCCTTACTAATTTGGCAATCTGCCCTGGGTTGTCTAAAACAGGAAAAAAGAGAAGACACTAACTTTGTGGAGCGCACAACTCGAGAAAGCAGCAGCCTCTTCCGCTCCTTGCTCAGCCTCATGACTCCCGGGGACTCGAATTTTTCACGAATCCAGTTACACTGGTCGAGGTCGTTGATGAACATGTACTCCACACCAATGCTTCCACAGTAGACATTCTGAAAGCAGAGCAGAGAGTTGGACGAGATGGAAAGCGCTCATTGTGGAAGCAGTGCAAAAACAAACGAAGATGAAAGAAGAGTCAAAATTAATCGCTGGGTTAGTTGGATAAACACTGCGAGAAAATAACAAGTGCAAAGGACAAGGACAAGACGAAGATACGAACAGGACAGGCACTACTATCAAGTGAGTGTGTCATTTAGGACATCAATGCATTTTTCAATCAAAAATTATATTTTTCTTTGAATCAGATCATTCCTCACTTTTTTCTTGTCTTTCTCTTTTCATAAATTAAACACTAAGTTGATAATAGTGCTCGTTCTGTCCGTACCTTCGTCCTGTCCTAGTCTTTCCACTAATTGTTTACATGATGAAAGAAAAAAAAATGGACAGGACCCCATATTGGGCCTGTGCACAGTCACTCAAAGTAGAAGTGATTTATGTGCTCGTTTTTAAAACAAATAAAAGGCTGTGGGTGGTCCAGTAGCTCACAAGGAGAGCTGACCTATATTTACATGCACAATCTCTTAGTCCTCGTTGCAAACAATGCTGCAAGCAATGTCTCTTGAGGATGTTCCATAAACAAGTCATATAAATACTTTGCTAACCTCAGGCTACCGCAATAAAAAAAATCTAACTGCACACATATTGTTTACTGCTTTTCTGCAATGTAGCTGTGAACACAAGTGCTTCAGTTCTATCCAACAAAAAAGCTAACCCCTCAAAGAAATTTAAGCGTAATTCTACTATATATTAATAAAACTAAGTTCTGTCTACGATTCAAATATAAAACGACTATTGCATACAGGTAACTCTGACCATATACGAGCATTCACCTGAAACAATAAAACATACAAATGCAAGGTCACCATTTGTGCTCTTGAAATTCACAATACAGTTTACAAAAACTGGAATTGAGAAAGTATTGAAAAAGAAAAGCCACCTTTCCCTATGAATACTGTCCATGAGGAAGCTGACCTGCCTTGTACCAAACCAAGCAACAGTAAGATGAAAAAAGTTGTGAATGTTCAAGAGGATTAAAAGAGAAAAGAAGAGGACTCGGTAGAACGCTCAAGCACACCCGGACGAAAGATAGCAGAAGTGACGACCAAGTTCCACAAACCTCGAGCCGACGGAGGATCTCCCTGAGGGGCAGGACAGCCTCCTCTCCACCAATAAAGGTGGTTGAAGGCAGTTTGAACAGCCGGTCCATGTCTTTCTCCTCTGCAAGGACACACGCCATCCACTTGAACCTCACACTGCAGTTATTATGCAAAGTCTAAAGCAAAGCAAGACCACACAGCAGGGAAAAACATGAACTTCAATGAGCAAATGCTTTTGCCTGCTGAGGCAAAAGCCTTTACTAAGATGACTAAGTGACATTTTTATAGTGACTATGACTATCGCGTGTTGCTATCTCAACCATGCTTGAACAAATTGGAACACCGTTTATGGCAGCTTTGGCAGCCTACTAGAGTAATGCCACACTGTTCTTTGTGCCACCTCTTGCTACAACTGGTCAGGAAGAATCGCATGTGTTACCATGGAAGCAGTCCGAGCTTGCACAGTTACTTTGACAACAGACTGTGCCGCGGTCAGCCCGAATATGTGCATTGTGTCCTCCAGCCTCCCAATATTACTCCTATGAGGAGGCTTGGTCTGATGCATCAAGTCTGCAATAACTTCATCCTGAAATTGCTTCTCTGCTCATGTTCAATAATCAGTGCTTTTATTCAGATCACTCCCTCCAAAACTTCAACGTCCTTGAATAAAGGGCGCTATCAAACTACAAAATGGCCACTAGTTAGTACAAACTGCTGCCAAGATAATTTTCAAGATCAAAGTGGAGATTAGCGTTACTGCTTCTGATGTTATTGCATCTAACACTATCACTTCATTATTCTAACAGCTAAAGCTGTTATGTACAGTAGTTCTAGGCTCAACCAACAAAACTGGTTTCTTTTCAATAAAACCCCCCTTTCAAGCAACTTAACCATGTTCTAGTGACAATCAGAATTTGACTTGAGCATAAAGAATTTTTTTTTCTTCATAACTTGAAAAGAATTGAGTTTTAAGAATGCCATTGCAAGAAATACGTAGAACCATCATGCACGACAAAAAAAAAATGGTCCAAATATAAAATGAGGTTCTTCGGTATTCCAGGGAAAAAAAAATATCCTGAGACTTTGAAGTCCCTACCTTCCAAAGCCACTGTAACTGAAGAGTGCTACAGATTGCCTTGCTGCAGATTAAGAATAGGTTTTAAAGAATCCCTATATCACAATTGAAAATAGGTTTTAAAGAAGTAGATGGCAGTAGGAATAGCTATAACTATTTCTCAATAGGATACTTCTTGAATTTTTTATGCATTCACATTTGCCTTGTGGCGGCTGTCACGTGATCCTTGCAATGCCCATTTAGTGAACTAGGAATGTGTAGCATAAATTATTTTAATGTTCACTTGATTCCTAGGTTGAGTGCATAAAATAGCTCCTTGATGCTTCACGTTGCATAGTTCACTGCAGGAGCATAATTTCACACTGGGCATATACAGCCAGCTACATCATTTTGTATGATTTTGAGGTACATTGATCTTCTCTTTTTATCTTTATCTTTGAAATAAGGCTTGTTAAGGAGAAAACATACTAAAATGTGAAAATAAATCAGTGTTGTACCCCAGTTTCAATGCTAAAATTGTGCTTTAAATAGATTCCATAACACAGTAACAACCTTATTAAATGCCTGATATATTACTCACATAAATAAGTAACCTGAACTTTCTCAAACCAAAATCTAGTACCAAGTACACTTGGGTGGGAAATCAAAACATGGAGCAAAAAAGGGTTGTCTATGCCTCTATTCCACCCGATTGTTAATTCAGTTTCAGTGCAATCTTTATTACAATGATCAATCAAAAAACTAAAAGGAGGCAATCATTAATTACAAGCCTGAGTACAACCAGGCATCATATTGAAAGAACTGTACAGACGTCTTACAGAAACTATGAAAGGAAAGGAGCAGAACTGGATAACCGTTACATAGTGACGACAAAAAAACAAAACAAAAAAACATTGGAGATAACATGCAAAATGAGCTCAGTTCTAATTAGCAATATTGTCACTTTCAAATTAAATGAACATACGTTAGACAGCTAACTACAAAACTCAAGATATTGAGATTGGGGAAAGGAAAAGCACAACAGACTTATCTTTTCCTTCTCCCAAACTTCAAGTTTCTGAATCGTATGATTACATACTATTCCACTTTGCGATCACCCATCCAAAAGTAACGACCGGACCTTACAGGTTGTGATTTCCCATAAATGTGATTTTACTAATCCTAGCACCATACTAAAATTGCAAGCCGTAACTCTGTAGAAAAAAAACATAAAAACCTGATCTCTTACATGCTTTGCAACCTTGGCAGTTTCCAATTCAAAAAATGTTAACAACCTTTACCCTACAGGGTGTCCTAAAAAAAATTACAAGGTCCAAACCAGATGTCAAATTTTTAGAACTAACCATTATACCTCAATCAATAGTTATAAACGATTTTCTAAAAAATTAAATGGAAAAAAGGGGCTCATTTTTGGTAACTGGCGCTATTCAGCTCCAAGTTTTCAAAAGCTCTGTTGGCCGCCATTTTCCCACCAAAATTTTCAGAAAATAACCTAAAAGTAATGTTAGTTCTGAAACTTCAGCATCCAGCTCGGACCGCTAGTGTTAAATTTGGGCAAAGAATGAGAGTCCGGCAACACATATTTAATTTTTAGGTAAAAAACAGTCTGTAATTCATTTTCGTTTTTTTTTTTTTGGGGGGGGGGGGGGGGGGGGGGGGCACATTTTGTAGATTACTTTATTTCACCTTTCGTTGAACTGCAGAGGATGCTATAAGCCAGCGAAGCCAATCCAATGTTATGTAAGTGTCCCATGAACTTCGTGGGAACCCCGTGTTCCCCGTCTCCCTATCTAGGCCTAGCACACGCAAGCCGTGGGAGCGTTATGGTGACGTCATCCCGGATACGGGGGCAAGGCCGCATTCCTCGAAGAGGGCGTGTCTACCCTCGCCCTTTTGGGTGAATGTGCCTCCGGCACACCCTTTGGAAATGATTGTAGACGCAGCCCATTTGCGGGATAAGCCACACCACCTACCCCGGGCGCGTCTATTTTCCGCTGGCTAGATAAGCGAGCTGCGAACGGCGACCGGGACTCTCGTCGAGGGAGGCTCTGGGCCACAAAGCCCCATTCTTTTTGAGCTTCCCCCCTTTCAACGAATCTGCCTAAAACGGCAACATGGGCCCCCTCCAGGTGAATCTGTCTAATGCGACAGCGCCGACATTTTTCCGTTCTTTTCTTTTATTAGCTTGGCCGACAAGCACAGCGTGGTGGCACTGGAGCCAAATAATCCCACTTCTTCAGTATCTTTGTGTTTCGGAATGATTCCTCTCCTCGGAGCCCAAGGCAGCCTCCGGACGGACCCGGCCGTAGCAGTCCTCAACATCCAGCTACGGAGTGGGATCGACCTGGTGGTGCAGTACAGCAGGTCGAATCCCACAATTTCAGGAGAACCGCAGCGAAGCACGGGGTGCACAGTCGCATGAAACGTTCACAGTGCTCGATTGGCTGGGATGGCTGGCAGCATCTGCTCCTGTCCATTATAAGCTGAAATGGGGTATACCTAGCTACTGACAGAGGTGGCATTATCTCTTGGAATCAGATGAAATGTGCATGTCAATTTACATGCTTTGACAAGCTGTCATGTTAGGGAAAGCACCTAGTATTTCTTGCCTACTTTCTGCATATACTCGGACATAGTAAACGACTTAATTTTCGCAGAGACCTAATTTTCGCGAATTTCACGAATCGCCTACAATTCGCGAAAAATAGACCCCTCAAACAATTCCGGTAAAATGTAAACACATTGGAATCTATAATGAGATCCCACCGCCTCACGAAAATTAGAACCCGCGAATTATTCCAAAACTCCAGCTTTGACCTAAAACGCAAAACATTGAGCTCACAAAAAATAAGTCGTTTACAGTATTTAGTTTAAGTCTTGTAATTTAAGTATGATGCATGAACCCCTAGGGCATACACCTAGGAGAAATAAAAGCTTTGATTCGATCGTTCCTTTCCACAGGCAATAGCAAAGAGCATGCTTTCTCTTCAGGCACTCACTTTGAAGCAAAAGACATCTAAAAATACTAAAACAAAGCAAGACAAATCTCATTTGAAACAGTTCAATGGACAAATTGCACTAGATGAAACAACAACTTCTGAGAGGAAACAATGCAATTATGAAGGAACTAAGCACAAATGGCAGACTTTTGATATGAAACACTGCTGCCAGAAAGCCAGAATTGAGGGATAGTCAATAAGCACCATGCCTGCACTGGGCATTCCAGATGCACAATAAAAGAACCCCAGGAAAGTACAATAAAGCAACTCAGATAACATTGCCCTACTACTAAATGAGACGCCTTAAAGCCAAAAATGTCATTGATACATGTATTTGCTCGTGTTGCGATTTATGAGAACCACATGAAATCAGCGGAAGAATAACTTTTCATACTGGAGTGCAAAATGCAGATGGACGCCAAATTAGGCAGACGATTAAAAACGTTTCCACAAGATAGCAATGATAGCGAGAGGGGCATTAGTGAAGGTCTCCTGCAGTGCCCACAAGGCGTTGCAGCAGCCGGATGGGAACGACTTCAAAAGTGCAATAAAAAAAAAATCAAATCAAAGGTGCCGAGAAAAAAAAACTGCAGCACAAAATCCCGATTCAGCACCAATATTCAATTTAAACCTTTGCTGACTTATTGCTGAAGCTTGCTACCCTAAAGATCTGATGTTCAGAAGAAACAAAACACCAGCAAAAAATATGGAAACTAGTTGCAAGAAATAAAATCTACCTTAATTAGACGACATGCACTTTTTTTATCCCTTCAAAAAATTAAGAAGGGCATATCAGTTTTTAGTTTAACTTAAAATAAAAGAATGGAAATGATGACTGCATTTTCGGCGTGCTAACCTTAGCACATGAAGGGGAGAAAGTTGGTGGGGGGGGGGGGGGGGGGGGGGGTATGCGGCAGTCATCTTTGTTTTGTCCACTGAGTTGCAATTTAGCTCTTGGGTCGTCACTTTTGTGTCCACTGTAGAAGAGGGGAAGAGGTCTTCCTCCCCTCTTCCTTTTTTTTCTGTTAGATATATCTAAAACGTGGATTAGGGAACTAGCTGGGAGATGTAGGCCTGTGACAGTCTTCAACTGATCAAGAGCCTAATCTACGAAAAGAATAAAGCAGCCCTTTCTCACTTCCTCTTTAGAGGGATTGTCTTAGTTCTGGGGTGCAAGCTTGCGCAGGGAGTGTGTGGTCGCACGGTGTGAAAGTAAGGAGTGGCGAAATGTTTCACACTGTGCACAAAGAAGGGGGGGGGGGGGGGGGGGGGGGGGGGGGGGGACACAGAATGTTTTTGGAGGTCAGAACCCCTAAACCCTCCCCCCCTTGGGTGCGGCCCTGGTGCTCTGTTGAAATCCATTTCATCAAGCTTTTTAGCAAAAGAAAAAGGGCAATTCCAATGACACTGCACCACAGAACATTTCATAAATGCTTGTTTTCACCCACTTCAGGAAAATGAACTCAACAGACTGCCAATGCCAGCAGATAAAAAAAATGCTCAATTCACTTGCAGGCTTTGTCTAATGCAGGCTGAAGCATTACCACAGACCGGATAAATGCAAGATTAGCCTCTCTTGAACAAATTAAGTCATCATGCACTCATGCCTCCTTCTTGCGACTCTTCTCATCGACCAAGAGCCTGCTAAAATGGCTGCTGCCATTTGCTAAAGCATCGCTCAAGGAAAATTTGCAGGCAGAGCTTGCTTCGACGAATCGTCATCAGCTAGGATAAAGGCGAACCACTCGGGCAGGGTGCTGAATCGGGAAAATAATCCCAACAAAGGGACGAAGAGAAACGCGACAAAGAAAGGGCAAAGCAACGGCTTGCGTCCAAATGCCGTGCCTCTTACCAAGGTTGTGACTTGTCAGAAGGATTTCCGTGGGATCAACGTGGGGCACATTGATGCCCAGAGGATCGAGATGGGCGTGGAAATGACCTCGAATCTGTGAGGAGCGTAAGTTTACATTGACACTCAAGCTGCCGCGCTCTGGCGGGCAGCGACCTGCTGCCCAACCACTTGCCAAAATCCTCTGCCCACATCAACTGCAGCAAGGATTGTGACATATGTATTGAGATGATAGTGCTCCCCTTTGTTAGTACCCTGTTAAAAAGACACTAATGCAGTGGTGTCGTAGACCAACTGTAATAGAGGGTACCCAAAGTTTGACGGTAAACAAGGATCTCGAGATCAGGATTGTATATGATCACGGAGCCCCCCAATACCGTCATTCCAATGCAGAGAAAGAAATGGACCAATCCCCGCAATGAAACACCGGAAGAAGGGGTGAAAAAGACATGTGCCTTCATCAATCTATATATTGCGAAGAAATGTAAAGAGAGAATGGAAGCCCAGCTTGGCAAAAGGTGCAATAAGGGGAACAAAACCAAACCAAACCAAACAGAGGGTGCAAAAAAAAGGACAAAAGGGTTGTAAAGAAACAGATAAATAGGAAAGAATGCGGCACCGCACGACTCGTGTATGTTCTCTTAAAGTAAATTCCAAAGCCTGTAGAACTCCTATGTCCTTCAATACAATTGCATTGTATCTTCTCAGAGAGGCACCTGGTGCAAAGCACCGGGAATGACAGGGCCTTGCAATTCACTGCCCATGTAAAGCGACCATAGAAAAGTTCTGGCATTTGCCGCAACCTTCTTTTTCTGCAAGCCTATCTTTCCTCAACGACTCGTGAAATAAATTTAACTATCGTAAACATCCTGTTATTTCCATTTTTAGTTTTGGACATGTGGCACATAGAGTGCCATTATGCTAAAAATGCAAGTTTTACATAAAGAATAAACAAAACTAGTTAAACATTGTCTTTCAGACAGCAATGCCAACTTAAGCTAGACGAAGCAAATAACCTAGTTTACAAACACAAAAAAGAAATTAGACAAAAGCTTTAATTAGGTGCTTAAAAAGAACAGTTCCTTGTATAAATTTTCCGCGTGTGGCGATACTCCCACAGCTATTCAACTCCAGTGGGGCAGTAAAATATAAAGCCTAAATAACTATATTTACACTAGCTCTACCATTAATTGCCCTCCTCCCTACCTTTTCCTCTTAGACATTACCTCTCTCTCCCTAATAATGTATGAGACAAGTGGATGAGCGTAGCTTTAAGAAGTGTTTGCACTGCACCACGGCAGTGCATGCTGTGGACGCATCTTGAGTGCCCCTGATGCAAGACCCTGTCATCCTCCAACTGGTGCCCGTGGAATCTCGAGACAGTCATGCTCTCGACCTAGGTTTTGTGATTCTTGGCCTAGAATTTCTGACGTTGACAGTACCTAGTTTGTAATTTCGGAGCACCACTTCGGGGGTGTGTAGCTCCTCCCGACTTAGGGGAGAGTTTGACGAGGCCGTGACGATGCCCAGGGGGTCGAGCTTGGCGGCCAAGTGGCCCCTCACCTGGGGTGGTGGTCAGGGGTCAGAGAGGGACGGGGCAAAACAGCACCACAAAACGAGGGGGAGAGTAGAGGCAATCCCTCTAAGAGAATAGACACCTTGTCTGGAAATACAGTGAGCGCGTCGCCCACCCTAAAAAAAGACTAAGATGTTTTTCTTTTCAAAGCAAAAATAAACTATGCATCGACGAATGCTCAGGCTCCACCCAAACGTAGTGCTAGCGGTCAGGACAAGATGTCAAAGTTTCAGAACTGCTATCTTATTCAAAAGTTAGGTGATTTTGTGAAATCTTTAGTGGGAAAATGGGGCCCGTTTTTGGTAGCTGAAGCCATTCCTCTTCATGTACTATCTGTGGGCTTCGCAAATCGTAATTTTCCTTATTAAAAATTTCTGAAAATTGCTTACAACTTTTTAATTATTTAACGGGAAGCTCCAAAACTTCAGCATCTGGCCCAGACCACTATCCCTACATTATCTGGAGACTGAGCGTTTGGGAATGCATAATTTATTTTTGTGGCGAAAAAAATAAAAAATATATATGCAGACAATTTTTACTTAATCTGCTTTTTAGTTCAATTGGTAATTTTATTTTTTTATGATTCAGCCACACTTTCGAGAGCTGTTTGACCCAAAAGTGAATTGAGCGACACTACAAAACAAGTTAAATCAGGGACCAGCAATGACTCTTCTAGAGGGAATGCTTTTGACTCTCCCACGTTTTAGGGTGGAAAGAAGCAGAGAACGACAAATATTTTTAAAAAAGAGGCATTTGCTCACACATTTTATACAGGAACGGACTGCTTAAAGGATTTTATGTCCCAGGTAAACCCCTGCTCAGCCAATAAGTGCTTTCTGAGATGCCGGACAATTTTCAAGAAATCCAGTACAATGTAAACTTGTGAAAGCTGATGCGAATCGTGCACTATCCGAACAGGTCAAAAACCAATACCTATACAAAGCAAAGTTCGCTCAGTGTTGATGCTCTTCGCATAAAATATCTCAACCACCACATTCTACACTTAGTACTGCATTCTAGCGAGAGGTATCTGCCAACTCAGAGCCCAAAACAATTGTGCAATGCTGCAAAGGGCAATTATGCATTTTCTTCAAGGTTTCCACCAGGTTGCACTTCTGAGAAGTACACTGCACATAACACAATGCAGTCCTTACTCCACCAAGTTAAACTAGCATGAGCAAATGCAAAATAAGAAAAGGTGTGCATGTGGTAACAAAAGAGAAAGGCATGCCCAAGGTTTCCCCAAGCACCACACCTCAGAAAAAAAAATAAGGTCTAATACAAAAGGGGTTAAAGAAACATTTCACATTTCACCTCAATCCTAGATATATGCAATGTCATTCTGCAATGTACCAAGCAAAGGCCAGACGAGCCGGAAAAAAAGAAGTAAAGGTATGCATAACAAAGAAATAAAGAAAAGTGCAAAATAGGAGGAGAGTGGCAATGCGAGCCAAGACGTGGGTAAGCTGGCACAAAGCTTTTCTTCAGACTCCTCGTAAGAGTGCAGACAAAACTTTCTTGGGCATCAGTCAACTTTAGTTATTTCAACAGGTACGCCCTTGTTTGCTGCCTTTAAAGACGGTACAACTATCTTTTCCAAAACATCACTCAAGAGTGCAGATAATCAGGCAGAGAAGAATGTTCAGGCCCCCTTAATGTGATTAACTCACAAAATAAAAAGCAAACACCCATTTTCAAAGACAAGCATAAGAAAATGGCCTAAAAGCTGACCAGCTACGGACAAAAGCTTACACATATTTTCACAAGCCCAAACCATGTCATTAAAGCTGCAGGACGAAAGCTCCCTGAGCGAAATCCGTTTCTTTCCATGGCTCCTAATAGTATATGTTAATGGGGACCTGAAAAAAAGACCAGAAAGGTCTTCGGCATTACTTCTTTGTTCCTATCGCCCCGTGTAACGCAGAAACAATGGCTGATACAAATGGAGTGCTCTGCGAATGGCATCAATGCCATCAACACTGAAAATCGAAAATACCAGGTGTTGTATTCAGCTAAAGTTGAACATGACACCTGGTAGTTCAAAATTGAGGGAAGAAAGCAAATAATACGAGTTTAATATTTGATTCTGGCTTATTTGTGCATTACTCGTTCCTCAAAATGCAATCAGGATCCAAGTGCCATGGACTATTCAATTTTCGAACAGCTTGTCATCTCAGCAATATTGCTTAGGAGTGAGCAGCTTCTCCTGCTTATCTTGCTATTTTTCTACCATATAATTATGCAATTTCCAGGTCATTTATGAAAGGACACTCCAATGAGGTCACAGCTTATGCATTCCATTCAAGTTTGATAATGTTCAGGTACACCACTTGGAACGGTCAAAATGTAACTTCACGTCTGCTAAGCATTCGGTGCTGCCACATAAAGTAGAAAAATATAGTTGGTAGGGAAATTTGCGAGGAAATGACAAGTGGAACAGTAGTTATTATGATTTAATAATGTAGGGTTCCATGTTTTCAGATAAATCCGATAAACTTCAGAAAAACACTCGCCGGTAAAACGTCTCACAATCAGGATTTATCCAGGAAGCTCAGAATTTTTAAGTGATGATGGCAAAATATATATATATATATATAAAAAGACTAAAAAAGGCCAATTAAGTTGTCTTTTTTAATCTCGTCAAGGCTTGTTCAGTGCAATGGTCCAACATACTTGTGGACCATGACAAAAGCCACTGTTCCGGTTTCCAGTTTCAACTAAGCGCTTGTTAGAGGGAGGAGGGGTTGTGTTTCTAAACAGTGAAAGATCTGAACCTATAGATTTTTTTTGAAGGGGAGAGCAGCTGAAGCTTTTATGCATCCAGAAGTTTGGCTATTTGAAAGTAGAAAACATTTATAGAAGTAACGCTCGTTTTCAAGATTTGTAGTGGGACAGTTAGTTCTGCCAATTGCAAAGACAACAATTCCAAGGAAGCCAATTCCAAATGCAGCTGCAGAAATATCTTTCGATTCTGGTGATGTTTTAGTGATTTTAGTGCAAGTTGTCTGGAGATTATTAATTTTTATTAAAAAAAAATTAGAGCAGAGTAAAATTAAACTTTGAATTTCAAAGAATTGGTAATATTAACAAAAAGAAACTCCGATAAACCCTAAACTCTCACCAAAAAATAAACTCTAAAAAAAAAAAAAAAAACTCGGAATTTTACAAAAAATAAACTTCGAAAACACTGAATCCTTATTTAGCCTTTCACAGTCATTGCTCTGGTGAGTGTTTCTCTGGGACTGTGAAAAATCAAGTGAGCTTTTTTCTGATCACCATAAAGATCCTGTAACCCAACTTATATTTTCTAGAGATATTTCTAAAGCTTGTTAAAAGCACCAATAAAAGAAAATCAAGCTTGACATGAGAAATGAATAAAAATAAAAAAAGAAGCATTTCAACGTTTATTTTTAATTCAAGTATAATTGCTTTTGATACATAAATATCAGTCAAGTACTGCATCAGCTGTGTGGTTATTGCACACCAATGTTTACAAAACTTGTTTAAGTAAACACAGAGGTAAAGACAGAAGCGTAAACTAGCCTTCCACTAGTCCTTCAGATTAAAATGCCCAGGAATAACGTATTTACTCAAGTAATAGCAGCACTGTTTATGAAGAAAACCTGAGGGTTCACTTTTCCACGGAGCACGCGGCTTGCCAATCACCGCGATCGACAGCACGATTCCAGCTGTTTACAGGACAGAGGTAACATCTTCGCGCGAAGATACCATCTGTGAAGGTAGCATTTGTATGGAGACTCATGTTCTCGATCTAGTTATTCGCTATGCTATTTATGCGCAACACGATGATTGGCTGTATAGTGCTTTGCGGGAAAGTAGACACAAGGGCCTTGTTCATAAATAGTACAGCAATTACTCAAAGAAATATGGTAGTAAGCTTCTGGCAGTGCGATCAAAGCTGCTAGGGTAAAGACAGGCATTCTGTGTGCCACACTTGCCCAAAGGCACAACACATGTTCTGTTCCATGGTGGTATGATGTCGGGAAATGGTGTCTGCTTTACCAATCTTGCACTACCATATCCCTGTCGAAACGTTTTGTGCATGATAGTTGACAAACAGGGTAGCTTACAAAGTTAGTAGCTTTAAGCCCAGTTTTCACAATCAGTACAGCACTTTTGCAGCACTAAATCAAGAGCTGGTTTGTCTCTCCCTTCCAAACAACCACACCTTTTCAATTCACAAGAAAACCATTACAAAAGTGACAGGGTGATATACAAGTGATCATACAAACAATTAATGACCAAGTGGCATGCTCCCTTTTATTATGTTTTCTCACAGCTTTGCCGCATACTCTTCGCTTTCACAAACACAGCATTATGGAAATGACAGTATGCATTAAGGTGACGGATGGTCTCATGCTATTCAATGACCATCGGGACCACACTGCTCCATAGATAGCACATTCTCAAGCAGCTACCCTCAGAGTATCCAATACAATACTATAGCATGTTAATTCAATGCCAACTTGTGTTCGCAACCCGGAGTTCAGTTAACAAAAAAGCGAAATAGGTGATGTTTCAATGTTTTGGTACAAAAAGTAAGAATGAAGCTAGAAACTACTCATTCTTCTGCAAGGATTTGGGGCGGCCGGATAGGAGACACAAACTAAAAGCTCGCGTTCCTTTTAAGCCCAAAGAGCTCATAAACTGGGGTTTTCCCTAAACTGCTGTATGTCAACTGCCTGTGCATGATGATGGGCGGCGTCTTATTTGTCTTTATTTTTGCGCGCTTGAAAAGCAGTCATAAATGTTAATGAGGGCAAATTGGCTTTTTGTGGTACATGCACACCCTGAGTGTATTATTCCAACCAGATACGCTCAGAGTATAAAAATCCTGAAAACATAAAATCGTAAAAAGGAATTAAGAATTGCACTAAATGGAGAGAGAGGAGAGAGAATTGAGGGGACAGCATGACCTTGTCTCGGCGATGTGAAGTGAACAAAACACAATTTTCTCTTGTCTCTATTTTTTTTTTTTTTTTTCTGCAACAGACATTTTCTAATTTCGCAATCTGTGGTCGAATTGTTCCACGACAATAAATGTTCGCTGACACTGCAACATGCAGGCCGGGTGCTTATTTGGGTGGAGATAGACTCGCAGTTGCCTGTAAATAAAAACAAGCATCTTTTCCCGTTATCTTCATTGTTCTTCTTTAACGTCAACGTCCTCCAACCTTACGGTTCGCAGCTCTGAAATTCAAGGGGAAAGGATGTTCAATCATCTCGCAATCTGCAGCTGGGGCTTTTCTAGGGGTGGGTGACCTTTTGGAGTTTTCAGAAAAAGCGATACTTAGTTCTAAAAGTGACATAGGCAATGCTGCAGCGATGAGTGCTGGATTGGGACAATGCAGAAGAAAACTGGCGACACTCTCACGAATTGGCCATTTCCAACTTAGTAGTCATTTGCACCCAAATGAATCGTTTGGCTTCGAGCGCCTAAACTTGAGTGTCCATAGCTCTCCCCGTCATCATCACCATAAAGGGCAACGTTATTGGACGATGCCCACCCCTATCAGACAAAAAAAAAACAATGAGCTCGGGGCTTTCGTTCCAAAACTTCCCAAAGCAGATTACCAACAGAAATTGGAAAGCCAAGAGGATCACCTTTCTCGCAGAAAACCCCAGATTATACGTCGGTCTTCAAGCGTCAGCTCTAGTGCTGCACAATTTGTGAGAAGTGGAGTTCCTACGGTTATGGCGCCCAGAACACGTCACCGACTGGCGCATTTACAGCATCCTCACTCGCGGTCGCTCCATTTCCTCCCGACGTCGTCATGCTTGCGTCGCGCTGTTGCCTGCCACAATCCTGCCAGTGGTGCAGAGGCACATACAGAAGACGCCCATTTTGCCATAGGATCATGGAGGTAGGAAGCTTCTGGAGGCTACATGATGCACCAGAGGTGAAGCCAGATGTGTGCAGGGGCACGCCTCCAACCAAGACCAAAACCTAGAGACGCTATTGGACGACAAGGAGAGCTGACTTAATGCCACGTCCAATAGCATCTCTAGGTTTCGATCATTGTTGGGGGCATGTGTCTCCACACTTCTGGCCTTAACTCTGGTGACGTCATGTCTCCTCCAGAGGCTTCCTACCTCCATGCTAATGGCCACGGAAGCCTCTGGGGCCCCGAGTAGGGACGCTGTGACGGGTTCACTCGTCCTCTCGTACCGGGACTTCTACGATCGACCACCAGGATTGCAACACACCCAACCAGTGTTGCCAGTTTAGCGGTTTTCTCGAGTTGTCCAGCAGGAGAAATTGCAGTTTTGCAGTTGACGGGATTTTCTAGCAGTTTTCAAATCGCGTTGGTGTAATTTCTGCCGGTCCAAAAACACCCTCCAGTTTATGTCTATCGGTTGTAAATGGCTTAATTTCTGTGACTAGTTAGAGTCATGGTGTTATTATTTTTGCTTACTTTTAACGAAATTGTTGCGAGTGAGAATAATGCTTGTGATGCCATTGAGATATTAAGGGGAAAGCATCGAAACTTGGTACTAAAATGGTCATTTTTAGCCTGTACCTTAAATTTAGCGGTTTTCAGCGGTTATACGGGATTCCTTTGGCAGGCTTTTGATTTTTGAGTTGACAACACTACACCCAACAGCATGGCACACCCGCTCCTGGGACGTAATTTGTCGTCACTTCGGGACCACTTTCGATACATGGGCGTTAAGGGCTCTGAATACACCAGTCGAAGACGGGTTCCGGGGACCATACCTACAATACTGCGGCTAAAGGCCGTCACTGAGTGCAGGGGCTGCAGGCAGAGAAACAAGAGATGGGAAGAAAGAAGCTCCACAACCTGGTAGGACCGGATGATGGCCTGAACGGAGAGGTGGTCGTCGATGTCCCTCGGAGCAGCCTGGGCACTGGGCAGGGCAGCGGGCACCGCGGCGGGCGCAGTCAAGGCAGCCGAGGTCACCCTTGCAGCCGCCGGTGCTGCTCCGGGGGCCATGTAGAGGGATGGCGGCGATCGGTACGCCTCCCCCGGCTGCAGACCCGAGGAGGCGCCGCGGAAGAACACGTCCCACGACTGCAAGAATGGAAGGGCAAGAACGGAGCTGTGAAATGGCGGTTAACTCTTCCCCAACTGCCTTTTTAATTCTGCAAAGTTAGTGCAGTGTAATTGGTTAATTAGCCCTTTCATAATGCTGCCATTTTAATTAAGCATTTAGCTGTTGGAGGCTGCTCATCTGGGTTAATGGGATAGAAAACTTCACTCCACAGGCTTTCGTCTTGTTCATGATAAAAAAAAATTATAACATATCTTGACACTTCACATAAAACCGACTCTGTATAATGCATAGTGTGTTTGTGTGGACCTGTTTTGATTTGTTTGGACCTGTTGCATCCATTTTTCCTGCTAGGTTTTGGGATAATCCATCATGGAATGAGAAGCGAACACACGACACGTTCAGCGTCAGTTGACTTCAAACAAAGTATTAAGGTAAGTCATAAATTTTTTTTCCCTTCACTTCTACATCTCTTTCTTGTTTTTGCTTTTTAACAACTTTTGTTTTTTACTTTAACTTCTTCTCTCTGGTCTTCATTTCCGTCATCTTACCCTTTTTCGCCTTTCCACACTCGTGGTAAGCTTCGAGACATTCGTAAACAGCCTTTTTTCTAGGCTTCACGGTGCAGTGGCAAGTCACCTCAACCAATTAACAACTGCGGCTTGTGACCACGTGCAATTGGTGCTACAACACCTTTTTTCGGCCGCATAAGAACATTTAATAGCGGCTAAAATAATGCATTTCTTAGCATCATTTGTGACTCAAAATAGTGCATTTCTTAGCATTATTTCTGGCTGAAAGAATGCTTTTCTTAGCGGTATTTTGGCACAGGGATAGAGTGCAGAACTAACTACTGATTGAGAGTTTGTTAGATCAATAGATCTGTCCAGAAAATCCCACAAGGCCTCCCGTCAATCCCACACAGCACCACGTGGCGTGAAGAATCGTGGGGCCGTTTCAATGTATGCTCGAACTGGATCGTTCGCTCCATGCGTCCTGGAAGAGACTCAGTTCCTTCTCTCTTATCGCTGCAAATTCAGAACACGAAGGAAACGGAGCAAACTCATCACGCACCCGACACGTATCCTGGTTTGTTATCTCCTTTTTTTTGGTCCTGAAATCGCGAAACGTCAAACCAATATGAACCGCTCCTTCATGTGCCGTACATTGGATTACTGTAGTGCGTCAAAAAGACTGCGGGAGGCGCTGCATATTTCCGGAATGGTCAATAACTGCCAAGGATCTTCGCAAAGTATCCTGGTCGTGCTATTACATTTTTTGTTGCAGCCTTTCGTGACGCTCTGGACTCAAAAGCCAGCCCTAAAACGATAAAAAAAGTACCTACACCTGAAGTGTTTGCATAGTCTCTACTATAACATGAACGCCAGTCAAGATATATCTAGAGCATGATCCTATCTAAGTTGTACCCCCTTGTAGATGGCCGTTTTAAAGAAAATCGGCATATGGCCTGTACCTTTGTACATGTCACACTTGTTTATTGGCACAGACGGCACAACAGAATTGCATTGATAATCCTGCATACATGTATTGTGACTGTGATACACACGCAGGCGGGAGCAAGTTGCAATATTCTCTCCAATGATCAGAATAAGAAATAGTAACCTCCATGGCAAATTTGCACAGTTGAAGTCCATACTTGTAGGGAAAAAAATCATAAACGTCACACCGTTGCATAGAGTGCAACGAAGGAAATTTGAGAAAAGAAAACATGATTTACATGCACGAAAATATGGTGTGTACATTCTAGGATCTCATAGTTCTCACAGAACATTAGAGATAAATAAATACAAAATCTCTTTGCAAGGGTTGCCAAACAAGAATATGCATTTCTTGACCCAAAAATCATGAGAGAAAAGTCCTTTCAAATTTTTTAGGGGAAATATTTGCTGCAAAATATTTTTTAATGAAACCACAACATTGATTTTGTCATGCCTTTGAAAGTTTCTGTTTGTTATTGCCGTTCTGCCGTGCTAAGCCCCCCCCCCCCCCCCCCCCTTACTACTACGATGGCCACCAGGCCATGTAGGCAATAAGTAAATAAACAATCAAGGCAAAGAATGTAATAACTTCTCTCATCGTCCTTTAATTCTCTTTACTTATGAAATTTCTTTAGATGGAATGCTGATAAGTGAAACATTGCGAAATGTCCGTATTTTTTGTCTTCAAAGTGGTATTCTATTTTCTGGTAAAAGGAAAAATACTGCCTGGTCCATTTCCATTGGAGTCCAGTGACTACGCATACAGAACGCTCAGTCTTGCGTGCATGCAGTCTTCTTTCCGTAATACCAGGGATCTTACTTCTAGGTCTCAACACCAAGACAAACAAGCAGTACATGCATTGTATGTACTTGATTAATAGACGCACTGTTTAAGAACAAAACCTGCACATCCACTTTCCCGCAAAACACATGGATAGCCAATCATTGCGATCAACAGGGGGAGGTCAGTGACCTAATACGAGACAGAGATAACGTGCTCACACGAAAATGTTATCTGCACCGACTGCATTTTTACGGAGTCGTTTCACAGCCTTGTTAATCACTACCCTTTTTATGTAGAATGAAACAATAGGCTGTATATGCATACTCTATGGGAAAGAAGAGGTATGAGCCGGGTTCATAGACAGTTCATCAACTACTCGAGTGAGTACGGTGACATATCAACGAGGTTCAAAGCCCAAGGTTTCTTCGAAACTGCCAGTTACAATGTCTGGAACTTCTTTAAAGGGAAGCTGAAACACTTCTTGAAAAAAACGAGTTAGAGGTGAATTCTGGCGTATTTTTATCCCGTGAATCTGAATATCACTTTTGTTTTCCCCGAAGATGCAACTAAAAGCGAGAAAAAGCGAAAAAACATTCGACCAGTCGTGACGTCATACTAGGATCTTCGGGCCTCCAAGCGCGTGTCGCTCGTGTGTTCAGCGCGTGCAACGGCAAGCTTGCCAGGTATATTTCCCCGCACTGACACCAGTCGTGACGTCTCTTTCTGACCTTTTTGAAAATAGCAAGAGTGCGCGTGCATAGCTTTGACAGGCGCTGAAGATGCGCGAGAGCAGGTATTCCGAACGCTCCTAGTGTGACGTCATGCCCCGGGAAGGAGGGGCTTCGGCGGTACTTTAAAAATTAATTTCTGAATCCTCCGTGCACCAAATTGAAAAATAATCTTGATATTCCTGATCCTGGAGGTAGGATGAAGGCCATTGAAATGTTTTTTCTCAAATAGAGAACCGCTTCAGTTTCCCTTTAATAGCCTAGTGTGGCACTGTTTTCTGGAACGAGGGTGAACAATGGTTGTGGGACACATGATATTACAATGCAGGATAACTTGCTGCATGCCCGAGTCGGGACGTTCAGTCATCCGGCCTCATCTTCTAAGTTGCCGTCACCAAACATTTCTGTCGGTAGCCACAGTCATACATATGGTCACGATCTACAAAACTTGCGCAACCTAGCACCACACTTTCACTCCAACCAAGAGTCTGTCATAGCTTATTAGTTTCCCTCCAACGAGCCGCTCCTGTCCCCTATGTAGTGTCACACAGCATCTCATTTCACGCCACTGCTTCTACGCCTTAAACATGTGGTGCCTTTGTGTCTTGCTTCATCGTCAATAGTATGGGGTTCGGTGCTTTGTTCCAGGTAAACAACATTCTGGCCTTTGAAAGGGCATACTACAATAAATGTACGAGCCCAAACTAGAAAGAGATTGTTACACACACAAAAAAAAAAGTAATAAAACATCTGTGCTTGCTTTGTGACAGTATGAAACATTGACATTTTGCCTTTTTTATGTCAAAATATAATGTATGAAAGTTACCTATAAATATAAACCTCGACTTGTGTCACGAACGGAAATTCATCCATTTTTCGAACAGTTGGCAAAATGCACCTGTTATTTGTAACAATAAAAAGAAAAAACTGAGAGATCACACTTTTGTATTATTAATGTACAGGTTGAGTGCAAAGTATGAGTGGTAGACCTTTGTTTGCTGATCGCTTGTCCAGTGTTGCCAGATGGTGAAATTTGTCACCAGATTTTTTTTTAAATCGGGTGAAATTCTTGAGCCTTTGGTGTTCTGGTTACTCAATTCCGAAACCACACAAAATCTATTCAAGAATGTCTCACGACCCTGCACAACTGAAAATACTCCTGGTGCCTCATTAAAGTAGCCACTGCTGGTGGCACAAGCCAGATAAAAGATATATTTTACATAAAAGCTAAAGATAATGTGTCTATATTATTTTATCAAAACACTGTTTAAAGTGGAATCTTTTTTTTTTTTCCTAACAATTAAATTTTGCGAACAAAATATTTTTTTTGCAAGTGCATATATTGTGCACAACTTTCTTTTTTTTTTAGGTGCTTTGCACATGGTGACATTTGAGCTCCGCTATTGGTGACTCCAGCGAAATCGACGCCGCATAGTGGCAACACCGAGAAGCTCAAGAGAGGAGGTCGTTTTGACTCTGTCGTCTGCTATCTCTGCTTGGTTCTCGTAGGTAGCATAGAAACAAACATTGTCTCCAGTAATTATCTTTATGCTTCTCGATAAATCGCTTGCTTTCATATGGAACACCGATTCTATGCTGCAGTGCAAGAAATTTATGGTGGTTCATGTGCTGAACGATGAAAACGACCTTCTTTCGTCCACCATTTTGCCTGACCAGCGCCCCCTACAGTTCACTAGACGCAAATAGTCCGTTGCAACTCAAGAAGGTAGGGTGAGGGAAAGGAAGGCCGGGGAGGAGGAAGCAGATGGAACGCTGGAGAGGAGAGGGGGAAACCTCCCCTTCTCCAGCGTTCTGCCTGCTTCCTCCTCCCCAGCCTTCCTTTCATTTGCCCGACCTTAAGTTGCAACGGACTATAGTCAGTTTAGTTTCACACCAGCTTTTTTCTCATGGAAAAAGCTGGGAAACAGTCACATGAATCTGATACTGCTACATTTTTCCTAAAAAGTGTTTTCTCTATTAAAATGCTTGATTTTGTTACTTGTTATCGG